CGCCCCAAGAGACTCCCAGGACGGGGGGTCCAAGAGATTTAGTTAAACCGAACAGACACATCGAGCCATCTGCCCCCAGACGTCACCCGAGATCGTCAGCAGGCCCCACGAGACCCTCAAAAGGCCCAAAGAGACACCCAAGAGGATTCCAATATGCCCCCAGGAGGTCCAGAGAGGCCCCAACGAGGCCCGAAGAGTCTCCCAAGGTGCTGCCCTGAAGGCTCACACGAAGCCCCAAAGACTGGCGCCCAAGAGCCCTGCAACAGGTCCCCAAGATATCCCAAGAGACCCTAATATGCATCCAATTGGGGCAAAAAGACCGACCCTGGGCAATTGTGGCATCTGTTGGGCGGCTTCAGGTGACCGCAGGGGGCAGTGCAAACCCAAGCGCGCAGGAAAATGCTGGAACGACCCCTGTGGGCCCGCACAAGAGGTCACTCTGGCGAAGGGTACCTTTTACGTGTAGTCGGCTCCGGCAGGTATTAGCAGGGACCGACCGCCTCGGCTCTCCTGTCGGCCTACCACGACATGCTCTCAAAACAAAAAATAATCGGATGATTCATGGCCACACCCCGCTATTCTAAAACGTCGTGGGTGGGCCTGCAGGGAGACCCGGGGCGCTTCGTCACCGGTGGCAGGCAAGCGAAGCCGCACCGCCCGCCCGGCGGCCTCGATCTTCGCCGTGTTGTAATCGGGCACGTGGCCGTTGCGCGCCAGCGGCGCGTACACCTGGCCCGGCAGCGGCCGCTGGCCGGCGCGGCGGCCGCCGAGGTGGCTGGGCTGGCCTCCGCGGAGGAGGAGGAGGAGGAGGAGGAGGAGGAGGAGGAGGGAGGAGGAGGAGGAGGAGGAGGAGGGAGGAGGAGGAGGAGGAGGAGGGAGGAGGAGGGGAGGAGGAGGAGGAGGAGGAGGAGCCCCCCCTCTCCCCCCGATGGTCCTCAGACCGTGTGTCAGCTCCAGCGCGTGCGTGTCCACCGGAGCCCTGCGATAGACGCCGGCGGCGCAGTGAGGGCCAGCACGGGCCACGCGCTGATCGGTGGGACTGGGCGGGCTCACCTTCGGTCGGGCGTGTCCTCCTACAGGCGGATGACGAAAGATGAAAGTATTCTAGAAACATCGTCCCCTGGCTAATCTTTGACTAGTCTTGAATACTCCTCGTGTAGCGGGACAGGTCCGACTTCAGGCTGACCACACATGGCACATGGGGATGACACGCGTCCATCTGGAGTCCGGATACGGTGCGGTGACAGACGTTCGGTGACCTCGAAATCCCCCCAGACCTCACCGCGCGGTCCGTCACCGCACGGTCTTGGGACCCCAGAGGCCCTTGTCGCCCGAGACATCCTCGGAGAACGACCCGAGTCCCAAAACCGTGCGGTGACCCCGAATCCCCACCGACTCACCGCACGGTGTGGTCACCACCCCGTTTGGGGGCCCCCGAGTCCAGGGGATCGTCGATCCTCTCAGGGGCGGGCCCCGGGGGGGATAGCACAAGGGGGGCCAACAGAGCCGCTCGCGCAGCCGCCTCTCCTGGCGCCGGGAACGACCACGAGCCGGGGAAGGCGCACGGCGGGCGGGGCGGGGCTGAACTGGAAGTGGCTGCGCACCGCAATTGGATCCTACCCCGCGCCAGGAGCGGCCGTGCGCCGAGGACCTGGCCATCGCTCGCACGGCCATTCCCTGTGTTTTTTTTTCGGTGTCGCGCATGGCTTTTTTCCGCCGAAGGATCGGGGATGCTCCTCGATGGTCCTCGCCGACGGAAAAAATGCACACGTCCGAGCGATGCCAAGCCCCAGGGATCCTACACTCCTGGGCGACCGGCGGCCTGCCGATCGCAGACCAATCCAGTGGCCGATATCCTGGCCTGGCCACCGGCGGCGTTCCGACTGGAGCGCCCGCGCTGGGGTCGCCGCCGCGTCGGCGCGGCCCTCCCGCTGGGCCCGATCCTCCGGGCTGCAGGGCTGCGAGGCGGCTGAAACCGGAGGGGGGGGCACAAGTGGGGACCCAGATGGGGTGGGGGGCAGGGGCGGGGCTGAGGGGCTGGCCAGCGAAGACGGCTGAGGACGGGCCGAAGAGGCACGGGCCAAGAGGCACCCCTGGGAAATCGCGTGCCCTTACGGTGCGCAACTTTGCCGGGGAAGGGCGTGCTAAGCGGCCTCCGAGGGAAGGAAACGTGAGCATACAGCCGGGTTCGTTCCCAGAAGCCCACCCCTCTACGAACCCCCAGACCCCGCAGCGGCAGGCGACCAAACAAAATGGAGCCACCCCCCACCCCTCGCCCACCTCTCCTCCTCCTCCTCCTCCTCCTCCTCCTCCTCCTCCTCGCTTGCCTTCCCTGGCTGTCACCCCTTCTTCTGCTCCAGCTTCGCCCCTCCTTGTGTCCTCCCAACCTGCACCACCTTTCTCACTCCGGGACCCCCGACGTCGCGTTTGTTTCACGCTGCGAAAAAGAAGTACCTCCACTCTATCCCCTGGACCTGCTGTCCGTCGCGGCTCGATGTCTGGCTGCCGCGGCCCGACAACGGCGACCGGAGGCCAGAACACACAGAGAAGCGCGCGTGGTGTTTTTTTGTCGCTGCGCTGGAGATCTGGGTCCACCCCCGAGAGAGGGGGGGGGCATCCGCATGTGTCCTTCTCTTGTTTCTGCGTGCTCACTTCCCACATCTCCTGCTTCTGCGTGCGCGCTCACCGTCCAGCATCGCCTCGCATCGCTCGGCAGCCAGGCTCCCCGGGGGCGAAGCGCGTCGCTCCTGGACTGGCCCAAAGACGACCCCGAGAGCGCAGGGGTCCTCCGAACCAGAGAGCCGGCAGAGGGAAACAATCAGCGAACACCCCCCCAAACTCAAGGCTGGCACGCGCGGGGGAGACTGCGGTCGAGGTACAGCTCATCAGACCCACCGCCAACTCTGAACACTGGGGGGAGGGGGAGGCGCTCCCAGACGAATGTGGCATGAGCGTTCGCTATTTCTCTCCGAGGCCTGGCCGCCCCCCTCCCCACGCGGGGCCCTCCGCGCGCCTCCCCCCGCCCTCCCCCGCGGCCACCGCCCCCCGCCCCTCCCTCCTCCTCCCGCTGGCCCTTGCGCGCGCAGGCCCCTCCCCCCGCCTCCCCCTCCCTCCGCTGGCCCCGCCACTCCCGGGAGCGGCCAAGAGGGGGGTGTCCAAGAGGGGGGGGTGCAAGTCATGACCGGCGGCATGTGCGCGGCCCAGCGGGGGGGCCAGGGACGTCATGAAATAAGAAGAGGCGCCATGAAATCTGGGGAAATATCATGGCCCCCGCCATGATGTCCACCCCCCCCTGGTCATCACCCCCCTCTTTTCCGCCCCCGACACTCCCTGGCATGGAGGAAGCGGGTCCTGAGAGAAACGGGTCCTGGACCCGAGGTTCTTCCCCGGGACCGGCTTCTCCTTCTGAGCTGTTTTATGCCTGTCCCGGGGCCCTCGGAGGACCCTGGCCCTAGGAGCCCGAAGGCATAGGAAAAACTGTAGGAATTTCTCTCACAGCGACACTCCACTCCGCCCCACCTCCACGCCACTCCTCCTTCCCTCCCCCAGCATCCAGCTACGAGCAGATCCTCCCTCCGCGCCCCCCCCCCCCCCCGCGGGAGGGTTTCTCGGATCACCTGGCGGCGAGCCTCGATTCTCGACCTTCCTCCTCCTTCTCCTCCTCCTCTTCCTCCTCCTCTTCCTCCTGCTCCTCCTCTTCTTCCTCCTCCTCCTTCTCCTCCTCCTCCTCCTCCTCCTCCTCCTCCTCCTCCTCCTCCTCCTCCTCCCCCTCCTCCTGGCGCAAAAAACAACGAACAGGACTGGGCGGAGGTGCCGGCGCAATCCTGGATCATCGAGCCTCCATCCTCGACCTACATCCTGCTTAGAAGCCTCCCAAATGAGCGACAACAATAAACGGGTCTCACGCGAGATGGCATAGCGACCTTACGCGTGAGGCTTACGCGGGCCGCCAGGGCGGCGCGCCACAGCGGAGACGAGGGCGCTCACGCAAGACCTGACGCGGGCAGCTTACGCGCCAATGCCGGCGCAGCCGACCTCGCTTTTTAGCGTCGCTCAGATGGGACTCGGGTACTCCAGATTTCGTAATAGAGGGAGGGGGGTCTCATTTCGGGGGGGTCTCTTCCAGGCTATCTTGGAAGGCCTGGGGGGGTCTGGGGACGATGTTTTGGAGGGTTCTCCCACGGGGGGGGGGTCTGAAATGGCTTGTCTTGGAGGGTCCAGACCCCCTCCCATTTATTACGAAATCTGGAGTAGACTGGGTCGGAGGATCGGGCAGCATCGCCGATGCAGTGGCGCCGTCGAGAAGCGGGCTCCACACCAAGCCGCATGGGCGATGCGTGGGCGAGGCGGTGCAGTCCTCCAATCTCGTCCACTCCGGCCCCATCCTGGAGGCCTGCACTCCTCCTCACCGGCTTGGAGGACAGACACAAGAGGCCTGGGAGGTGGTGTCGGCGTAGTCCTGGATCACGTCCCTGCCCTTGGGCAGCCCGCTCTGCCTGGCCTCTGCGGCCTTGCGCTCCTTCGGGGAAGGGGGAGGGCAGCTTCCGCGGCCAGGGGCCGGCCAGGGCAGGGCGGCGGCCGCGAGGCGGACGAAGACGACGACCACGACCTCCAGGCGACCTCCAGGCCGACGGCCAGGCGACGACGGCCACCCCTGCGACGGCGGCGACCTCGGCGACGACCACGACCTCGGCGACGACCGCGTCGAGCTGGGCTCTGGGATCTGCCTGTTGGCCTGCCTCTGGAGGGGCAGCGGGGGATCGGGGGAGGCCGAGGAGGACAAGAGAGGAGGGATGGGGAGAGAGAGGAGGAGGAGGAGGAGGAGGAGGAGGAGGAGGAGGAGGAGGAGGAGGACCACTGACCTTGCTTCCAGGTCTGCGAGCGGGCCGCCATTAACAGTTACTGGGTGGAACAGGAAAAACCGAATGGGTAATGGAGGACACCCTTTTTGGGGGGAGCCCCCAACTCGCAGCCTGTTGTGAGGGTTGCTAGATGGGGGCCAGCCTGGGCTAGCAACCCCCAAGCAGGCTGCCTAGACGGCGGCAATCTGCGCGCAGCGGTTGCAGCAGGCACCATCTAGCGGCTAGCAACGAGATTGTGCACTACAGACAGAGCTCCTGCCATGGCTAACGCAGCTCCGCGTCTGCGGGGAGCGAAGCCCCTCATCCCCAACGCAATGCTAACTGTCGCGCGCCGTTGGCAACTGCCGCCTACTTGCCAGCCATGTTGGAGCATGCCAGCCCATCCTCATCCTTCTTGCGCTCTCGGCGCAAGGGGTGGACGTCTCGGCGGAGGAGGGCTTAAGGAGGAGGCGACGAAGATCTAGACAGTTGCTCTAAAGACCTTTGAATCTAGATGTTGTGTCAGCGAGGCGCTGCTAGGCTACGCAATGCGATGCAACGCAGCATCAGGCAGCGCAAAGTACTGAAGATGGCTCCAAGAGGCTCCCCAAACTTCCTGCACTTTGGCAGCGCTAGGTGCAGCAGGAGGAGGCGGAGGAGGAGGAGGAGGCGGAGGAGGAGGAGGAGGCGGAGGGGGAGGAGCAAGAGAAGGAGGAGGGGAGGGCGACTGGGCGGAAGGAAGGTGGGAGGAGGTAAGTGCTTGAACATATCCTGCTGCGGCCCACGCGAGTCATAATCCTGCTGGACCATCAGATTCCAACTGCCAATGCGCCAGAACAGCGGTGCGGACGAGACAGCCCAAGAGGCACCCAAAACGGTCCAAGAAGGCCCCAAGACGGCCCTGAAAGGGGCCCAAAAGAGGGAACACGAACCGAAAATCCAAGCCTTCCGCACCAAGAGGCGCCCAAGAGGCCCCTAAGAGGCGCCCAGGAGCCCCCCAAGAGGCCCGCAAGAGACTCCAAAAGGCCCCAAGAGGCCGCAAAACGGCCCCCAAGAGGCGTACAAACTGCCTCCAAGAGGCCCCCGAGAAGCCTCCCACGAGTCCAACGAACACCAAATAGAATTCATACCCACAACACAGACATAGTGGCGGGACGGGCCGAAGGCCAGTAGATAGATATCGATCTCACTATCTCTCTATCGATCTCACTATCAAACAATATACCATCGGGACAACCGCTGGAAACAAAACACCGGAACAACAAAGGTGATAACCTCTATCGGTCTACATATCTATCGATGTCCCGATTTACCCGTATCCATGTAAATATAGATCGCATCTGTATCTACCTGACGAACTCATTGTATCGATATCACAATCGATCGATCTCACCATATATCGATTGATTTCTCTACGTATCGATATCACTATCAAGATGTGTGTCGATGTATCTATCGATCAGCCTCAGCATCTCCCGATCTCACTACCAATCAGTCAGATCTACCATCGGGGCAACCATCGGGGCTAACCATCGGGACAACCGTCGGGTCAACCGTCGGGACAACCGTCGGAACACAGCGTCGGGACAACCGTCGGGACAACCGTCGGCCGTCGGGACAACCATAGGACAATCGCGGGACAGCCGTGGGACAGCCACAGAACAATCGCGGGACGACCGCGGGACAACCCCCTCGCCATCGCTCGGACGTCCATTCCCTGTGTGCTTTTTTCGGTGTCGTGCTTGGTTTTTTCGCCATATGATCGAGGATGCTCCTCGATTGTCCTCGCCGAAGGAAAAATGCACACGTCCGAGCGATGCCAAGCCCCCGCCCCAAATCCGCCAACTCGGAGGGGGAGAAACATCTGCGCAGACCCTGCCCTCGCCACGGGCGGGAGCACGCTTCCTCGCCCGCGCACGCAGCTGCGCCTCGCCTCGCTCCCCCGCGCGCGGCACGGACACGAAACCGAAACCGACTTCCCCCGGAGGGGGAGGGAGGAGGAGGAGGAGGAGGAGGAGGAGGAGGAGGAGGAGGAGGAGGAGGAGGAGGAGGAGGAGGAGGAGGAGGAGGAGGAGGAGGGCCTCTAGGCCCCACGGGAAGGGCCCAGACTTCTTGGCAGCGGCGCGGCGGGAAACCGACTTCCCCGGGGGGGAGTCACCGCTTCACGCCGATCTCACCCCCCAGCCCTCCGACACATCGGGCGCCGCGGCGGCTCTCTGGAGCGATCTCTCCTCACCCCAGGCCTGCGCGACCACCCCCCACTCCTCCCCCCCCCTCCCAGGGACTCGGGTTGTGGGTGCCACGACAATGGACACCCTAACAGTCCTATCATCGAAGTACACATGTGTTAAAAATGTAGGAGAAATGTCCTGCAAACGTTTTGAGCATGTTTTTTTACATGCTTAAAACATCGGGAAAATATTTGGCAACATGCTTCCTTTGGCGGCGCGCACAAGGGGGTGGGGGGAGGGGGGAGGGCTTCTTAGAAGAAGGCTGCTTCTTAGAAGGCGCCGGCCTTACATCTATAGATAAGGCCCGCGCCTTCTGAGAAGCAGGGGTGCTTCTGAGAAGCCCTCCCCCCTCCCTCCACCCCCCTCTGCGCGTGGCTGATTCCTCTCCATTGATTTGGGCGCCCGAGTTACCCCTGATGATTCGGGGCTCTGATTGATCGTCCTCCACAAGACTCGGGGCCGCGCCGACTCGTCACGCCGGCGCCGACCCGGGTCCGCCGGGGGCCCCGCCGCGAGCCTTGGGCGCCAGCCACGACGCAGCTTCCGCGTTCCGGGGCCCAGAGGGGGGCGTCGGCTCCCCGTGGCCCTGGGTCGGGCAGGTCCCCCTACAGGCGGATTGTGGGCGAAAAAAAAAAAGAAATAATCAATTGGGTCGGGCATGTCCCCCTACAGGCGGACTCTGGGCGAAAAATGCAAAAAAACAAAAAAAAACAAAAAAAAAAAAAAAAAAAAAAAAAATACACCCCGAAGGCCAAGAATAGCCCCAGAATCGTCCCCAGAGCATTTTGTTTTTTGACCAGTCTGGAACGTTCCTCCAGCAGAGGGGCAGGCCCGACCTCACCCTGGCCCCCGAGGCCTGGGCACCCGCCCGATACGGGCGCGGAGAGCTGCCCGGCCGGCCTCTGCCCCGGGACTGGCGCCGCGCGGCTCGCTCCGCCTCGAGGAGCGCTCGCGGCGCTCCGAGAGCTAGGGGGGCCACGTGTGAACCCTGCCCCTACTCCCCTCGGAAATCGTGCGTGGGGGGCAGGGCTCACACGTGGCCCCCTAAGAGCGCCAATGTCGGCCGTTACCAGCCTCGAACTTACCCCTACCCCTCAGATGGGCACGCCAAGAGGCGAGGACCATCCTGAAGGGAGGCGCCCTCCCAAAAACAACAAGGGCATCCCCAAGACCGGCATCGTGGCGAGGAGGCGCCCAGCACAGGGATGGGGAGAGATGCCCCAGGCTGGCAAGCCTCGAGCGCGAGCGCGGCGCTCCGAGAGAGCGCTAGTGTCTAGAGGCCTCCTAGATGGGGTCCGAGTAGATGGGGTCGGAGGATCGCGCCGCATCGCCGATGCATCGGCGATGCATCGGCGATGCATCGGCGATGCACCGGCGATGCATCGTCGACGCGGGCGACGTATCGGCGGCGCCAGCGTGGAGAAAACCGGGCTCCGCATCGCGCCGCACTGTGGATGCATCGGCGATGCGGCGCGATCCTCCGACCCCATCTACTCCAGATTTCGTAGTAAAAGGGAGGGGCTCTGGACCCTCCAAGACAAGCCATTTCAGACCCCCCCCCGTGGGAGAACCCTCCAAAACATCGTCCCCAGACCCCCCCAGGCCCTCCAAGATAGCCTGGAAGAGACCCCCCCCCCGAAATGAGACCCCCCTCCCTTTATTACGAAATCTGGAGTACTCCGACCCCATCTAGGAGACCTAGAGTGTCGAACGGCACCGGGGCCGACTCTCTCCGCGCCGCGGGCGGCGCTCCGCCCCGAAAAACGCCTGCGCCGCGGTCGCCGCCACGCGCCAAGAGCGCGGCGCGAGCCCGCCGCGCCGGCGCCCCAGAGGTCACTGAACCCCCGAGGAGGGAGGAGGAGGAGGAGGAGGAGGAGGAGGAGGAGGAGGAGGAGGAGGAGGAGGAGGAGGAGGAGGAGGAGAGAGGAGGAGGAGGAGGAGGAGGGAGGAAGGAGGAGGAGGAGGAGGAGGAGGAGGAGGAGGAGGAGGAGGAGGAGGAGGAGAGAGGAGGAGGAGGAGGAGGAGGAGGAGGAGGAGGGAGGAGGAGGGAGGAGGAGGAGGAGGAGGAGAGAGGAGGGAGGAGGGAGGAGGAGGAAGGAGGAGGGGGAGGAGGAGGAGGCCCCCCCAGAGGGAGGGCTCCTTCTGCACCTTCCGGAGCACCTTGATCCTGTCCCGCTGGCAGGTCGCCAGCTTGCCTCCGCCGCGCCGGGCGGTCGGCGGCCAAGCAGGGGGGCCCGGATGCTCTCAGAGGCAGGGGGGGGCTCTGGCCTCCCCTCTGCCACTCTGCTCGTGCGTTCCTGGCGGCTTCCTCCACGCGCGTCTGCGGAAGGTGTCAGAAACGGTCCTGCTCGTTCTGCGCGTGTGTTTCCTCCTGGCGCTGGAGGCTCTCAAACTTTGCCAGTGCATGATGCGTGTTTTTCGCCTCGCGCCCGTTGAAATCTTCAAACATGTGTCGAGCATCTCTGGAAACGCCCAAACCTGATCCTCCTTCCGTTCCTCCTCCCTGTTCGTCGTCCTCCTCTTCTTTCAGCTATTCCTCATGCTCCTCTCCCCCCCTTCTCCCCCTCCCAGATCCCCCTCTCCTTCCTCCTACCCCTCCCCTCTCAACCCCCTGCCCATCAAATTCGTCGTCGGCGTTCTCCTTCTCCTCCTCCTCCTCCTCCTCCTCCTCCTCCTCCTCCTCCTCCTCCTCCTCCTCCTCCTCCTCTCTTCTTCTCCATCTCCTCCAGGGACCTGCTGTAGACTTCTGAGATGCGCGGAATGCAACCAGTGCTAAATGGCATCGCTCCATCCAAGTTCAGCTTCCATTCTGAAGCATCCCTGAGTGGCTTTGGCGGCCAAGCGGTAAATCCCAACAGCCCTCTGGGCGTAGGTGGTCTAGAACAGATCCTCTTCCACCCCTCCCTCTTCCCCCTTGGGGAGGGGTTTACCCCTCCCCCTACCCCCTCCCCTGGACCTGGACGGAGGGTTTCGCGAGCGGTCGGACGGCTCTTTTGGCCCCAAGATGGCTTCAAGAGCGCGTCAGAGAGCCCACGATGAGCTCCAAGATGGCTCAAGATAGCGCAAAATCGCTCGAGATGGCTCCTAAGATGGTTCCAAGAGGCCCAAAGACGGCCCCAAGACGGCTCCTTGTGGCCAAACAGCTCCCCGACGAGGCCCCGACGAGGCCCCAAATCCTCCCCAAACCTGAAGAAAATCAATGTGTGTTTGCTTTCTCGCCTTTTCGCTTCCGAGGGCCATCCGAGGCCTCAAAATGGCTCCAAGATGGCCCAAGAGGGCCCCAAGAGAGGCCCAAGAGCGCCCCAAGACGGCCCCAAGAGCGCCCAAGAGCGCTCCAAGATCGCCTCACGTCGGGCCCCAGAGGCGATTTTTGGAGCTCCTTCGCGGGGAGGCTAATTAGGGAACCCCCCTTCGTTGATCGATCTCCTCCAAGATGGCCCCAAGAGCGCCCCTGCAGCCCCCAAGAGCGCCCCAAGAGCGCCCCAAGAGGCGCCCAGACGGCCCCAAGGGGCGCCCAAGAGGCCTCCAAGAGGCTCCCAAGAGACCCCCAAGAAGCCTTAAGAGGATCTCCGAAATGCATGTAAGACGCCTTTGGCTCTTCGGTTCGCCGTCCTCTTCAATTTCTCATCCCCCTCTTCCTCCTCCTCCTTCTCCTCCTTCTCCTCCTTCTCCTCCCTCTGCTCCTTCTCTTCCTTCTCGTCCTCCTCGTCCTCTCCCTACTCCACATCCTCCTCCTCATTCTCCTCCCCCTCCTCCTCTTCCTCCCCTTCCCCCTCCGACGAGGATTCCTTCTCCATCCTCCCCCTCTTGGGGTACGTGACAGCTTCCCCCGCCCTTTGTTATTCTGCATGCTCCCCGAATTCCCTGATCCCCTCAACTCCTCTGGGCATCGTTTCTGGATAGGCTGGTGGGGATACGCGAAGCGTCAACAATTCAATATACGACGTTACTTGCATTATCAGCCCCACACTGTGATGATGATTGTTTAAAGATCATTATGCTCCCCCCTCATCCTCTTCGTCATCCCCTTCCTCCTCCGTCTCCTTTTCCTCCAGCTCATCTGAGATCTCGACCCTGTCTGGCATTCACTCACCGTCGCCTACTCTTCATCCTTCGATCGCCCCCTCAGGTTCCTCTTCCGTTTCTCATATCTCTCCTGGGAAGAAGTTGGCAGACTCGTCCCCGTTGCGATGAATTTGGGCATCCTTGTACGTACCATGCAACCTTTCCGAAGATCGGGCCGATCTCTGGGTCGCTCTTGCCGATGGCATCAAGCCTGGCCTTCCACCGATGCTGCTCCTTCTTCCAAGGAGCGCCAGCGGCAGTGAAGATCATTGCATCCTCGTCGGTGTGCTGCCTGGCAGGTTTGCCTGTTTGCGTGTGTCTGTCTGTCTGCCTGTCTGTCTGTCTGTCTGTCTGTCTGTCTGTCTGTCTGTCTGTCTGTCTGCCTGTATGTACGTTTGCAGGTATGCATGTATATGTACGCATGCCTATATGTCTGTGTATGTATGTATGTATGTATTTATGCATCCATACATGCATGTATGGATGCATGCATGTACGCATGTGTGTATGCCTGTCTGTCTGTCTGTCTGTCTGTATGCCTGTCTGTCCGTCTGTCTGTCTGTCTGTCTGTCTGTCTGTCTGTCTGCATGTATGTATGTATGCATACATGTATGCATGCATGTATGTATGCATGTGTGTGGTATGTGTGAATGTGTGTATGTATGCAGGTATGCATGTATGTATGCATGCATGCATTATTGTACGTATGTATGGGTGTATGTATGTTTGTAAGCATGTGTGTACATGCATGCATGTGTTTGTGTGTTTACATGAATGTGCATGCATGTATGTATGCATGCATGCATAATGTATGTGTGTGTTTATGTTTGCATGTACGCGTATATGTATGTATGCATGTATGTATGTATGTATGTATGTGTGTGTATGTATGATTGGTTGTATGTGTGTATGTATGTATGTGTATGTGCATGTGTGAACACATGTGTGTATGTGTGTACGCATGTACGCATGTATGCATGTATGTGTGTATGTATGTGTGCATGCATGTATGTATGTATGCATGCATGCATGCATGCATGCATACATGCATATATGTATGTGTGTATGTGTGTATGTGTGTATGTTTGTGTGTTTGTATGCATGCACGTATGTCGTTTCCTCATATATTCTCTTTCCTCGCCCTGACCTTCCCCTGCGAGCCCTTCCCCGTCCTCCTCAGCTACTGTCGCGGAGGCTCATCCTTGGAACGCCTTTGGGGGGCCTCCCGAAACCTTTTGAAGGGCTTCTCGTGGGCTTCTGGAGGCCTCCTGGGCGCAGTTTGGGCGTCTCTGGTTGCTGCGAACCACAATCTCCCCCAACGACCAAGTCACGATCTGGAGTGCTTCCGGGGGCGTCCTGGGGCCATCTCAAGCCGTCATGGGGCATTCTTCGGGCCACCTTGGGACCCCGTTGGGCAGTCGTGGGGCTCTCTTGGACTGTTTGCAAGCGCTTTGGATCATTGTGGGAGGCATTCCGGAACTTCTTTGGAGTTCTCGAACGCCCGAAGACCGAAGAACCGAGTACGCACCCAAAAATCTACAACAACCATCAAGGAGTTAATGTTTTTTGCGTTTGGATGGCCTCTTGGGGATATTATCCGAGCAGTCTTCGGGCGTCTGGTGTATTTCGCGATCTGGCTTTGCTAGTGCTCACGCGGGGCACTATTATTTTTCCGTGCATCCCACGATGGCTGCGCGCCAGAGCGCGTCTATGCTGGTATATGGTCTATGCTGCACTGGTCTGACATCGCAACTGTACATAGAACGTCGGAACAAAAATGCGGTCCCGTAGCTCTGGACAGCGCCATCGGCTAAGCAGAAACTGATCGCGAGAACTGCCGCGGGGGAGGTATTACTGGGGAGCTTGACACCTCCTAGTCAACCTCCTCCATCTTCGATGCCTCGTCTGCGGCGCCCTCGACTTCCTCGAGAGGGGGCAGGTCCTCGTCGTCCCCCAGGCCCTCGTCGTCATCGTCAATGCTGAGGCCAAGCTTGATCATGCGGTGGATGCGCCCTGCGAATTGAGTGGGCTCGTCCAGGTTGAAACCAGAAGTGAGCAGGGATGTGTCGAAAAGAAGCCAGATTAAGTCCTTGACCGTCTTGTCCGACTTGTCGGCAGATGCCTTCTTTTTGAGCTCACACATGATGGAGTGCTTGGGGTTGACCTCCATGGTCTTCTTGGACACCATGTAGGAGGTCATAGAGTTATCCCTGAGGGCCTGCGCCTTCATAATGCGCTCCATGTTGGCGGACCAGCCATATTCCGAGGTTGTCAACACGCAGGGCGAGTCCGCCATGCGCGAACTGACCACCACCTTCTCCACCTTGTCGCCCAGCACCTCCTTCATCAGCTTGGTCAGCGGCTCGAACTCCGCCTTCAGCTCCTCGAGCTTCTTCTTCTCGTCCTCGTCCTCGAGGTCCAAACCTTCCTTGGTCGTAGACTTGAGCTTCTTGCCGTCGAACTCCTTCAGCTGCTGCACGGAGTACTCATCGATGGGATCAGTCATGTAAAGAACCTCAAGACCCTTCTTGCGCAGTGTTTCCAGGAAAGGCGAGGACGACACCGCTGCGATGCTCTCCCCCGTGATGTAGTAAATGTCATTCTGCCCCTCCTTCATGCGGTCCACGTACTCCTTCAGGCTGATCATCTCATCTCCAGACTTCGAGGTGTGGTAGCGCATAAGCTCCGCGACCTTGGTGCGGTTGGTGGAGTCTTCGTGCACGCCAAGCTTGAGGCACTTGCCGAACTGCTCGTAGAACTTCTTGTAGTCGTCCTTCTTCTCGGCGATCTCCGCGAACATCTCGAGGCACTTCTTGACGAGGTTCTTCTTGATCACTCGCAGGATCTTATTCTGCTGCAGCGTTTCGCGGGAGATGTTCAGCGGCAAATCCTCGGAGTCAACCACGCCCTTCACAAAATTGAGCCACTCGGGCATCAGCTCGTCGCAATCATCCATGATAAAGACGCGTCGTACGTACAGCTTGATGTTGTTGCGCTTCTTCTTGGACTCAAACAGATCGAAAGGTGCCCGGCGCGGCACGAAGAGCAGCGCGCGGAACTCCAGCTGGCCCTCAACGCTGAAGTGCTTTACGGCCAGGTGGTCCTCCCAGTCGTTGGACAGTGACTTGTAGAACGAGGCGTACTCCTCGTTGGTCACGTCTTCGGACTTGCGCATCCACAGCGGCTTGTTCTTGTTAAGCTGCTCCCATTCGTGGGATACTTCCTTGACCTTCTTTGTCTTTTTCTTTTTCTCCTCCTTCTCTTTCTCCTCGTCGACCTCCTCGATCTTCGGCTCATCGCCTTCTTTCTCGTCCTTCTTCTCCTCCTCCTCGTCCTCGGAATCCGTAACTTCCTTCTCCTTGGACTTCTCCACGTACAACTCGATGGGGAACCCGATGAACTCCGAGTGCTTCTTGACAAGATCCTTCAAGCGGCGTTCCTCCAGGAATTCGGACTGATCCTCCTTTAAGTAACAAATGATCTTAGTGCCGCGCTTGATCTCCCCGTGCACCATCTCTGTGTCCTTCTGCACCGTGAAGGAGCCACCAGCCCCGGACTCCCAGATGTATTGCTCGTCGTCGTTGTTCTTGCTGATCACGCGCACCTTGTCCGAGACGAGGTACGCGGAATAGAAACCGACTCCGAACTGCCCGATCATGGAGATGTCGCCACCGGCTGCCATTGCCTCCATGAAGGCCTTGGTGCCGGACTTGGCGATGGTGCCGAGATTGTTGATCAATTCGTTTTTGGTCATCCCGATGCCGGAATCCTCGATCGTGATGGTGGAATTGGTCTTGTCGGGAACGATCTTGATATAGAAATTCGGCTGGGCCTCGATCTTGTCAGGATCGGTGATGGACTCGTACCGGATCTTGTCCAAGGCATCTGACGCATTGGAAATGAGCTCGCGCAGGAAGATCTCCTTGTTGGAGTAGAAGGTGTTGATGATCAGGCTCATGAGCTGCTGAATGTCAGCATTGAATGCGAACGTCTCTGCCATGGCTGGAGTGAGGGCTCAACGACCAGAAACAGGCCTGCAACAATCTGCGCTGGCGGCGAAGCCGTGAGTGACTACCTACCAGATCACCCCAACCCAACCCGAAGACCCGAATTTCGGGTTGGGGGGGGGTAAGGGTTCCACATGCGTTTTTTCGATGTTCCCCGCCCCCCCCCACTGGAAATCGAGGGTAAATCTGAGCCTTCGGGTTGGGTTGGAGTGGTTTGGTGGGTGGTGAGTGAGGGAACAACAGCTTGAGCCAAAGTGGCTACGGTGGTGCTCGCGCGGGGCAGCCCGGCCGCCCTCCGGACCGCCTGGAGGCCGCGGGCCAGGCCCAGCAGGGACACCCCGGGAGGCCCGAAGCCCAGGGGGAGAGATCCTCTGCAGGGGCCTCCCGCGGGGGCCCATGGAGACGAAGTATCCGGAGGGTCCGGCGATTCCCGCCCCGCCCCCCCCCCTTGCCATCGCTCAGACGTCCATGCCCCGTGCATGTGTTTTCGGTTGCGTGCGCGCTTCTCTCTTCGCAGGACGATCCAGGCTGCTCCTGAGCATGTTCTGAGGGTGGAGGGCTCAGGGTGGAATCCACATGGGCTTCCTGCACCTCGAAAATCGGTCCGTCCTGTGATTCGCCCTTTGCAGACTCAAGAGCCTCGAAAATCCATCGAAACTGCATCTCAGATTTCACCCCTTGCCCTCCACCCCCCTTGCCATCGCTCGGACGTCCATTCCCCGTGCAGTTTTCGGTTTCGTGCGCGTTTCTCTTCGCAAGGTGATCCAAGCTGCTCTTCGATGGACCTCGCCGAGAAGAAAATGCACACGTCCGAGCGATGCCAGGCCCCCTGGACTGCAGAAGTGTAGAGAGAGAGAGAGAGGCATAGTGCAGGGTCGCCGTCTGGCTCAAGTCGTTCGCAAATGCTTCCCCCACTGCTGCTGCTGCTGCTGCTGCTGCTGCTGCTGCTCCTCCTCCTCCTCCTCCTCCTCCTCCTCCTCCTCCTCGTCCTCGTCCTCGTCCTCGTCCTCCTCCTCGTCTTCCTCCTCCTCCTCCTCCTCGTCCTCCTCCTCCTCGTCCTCCTCCTCCTCCTCGTGCTCCTCCTCCTCGTGCTCCTCCTCCTCCTCATCCTCCTTCTCATTCTGATCCTCATCCACCACCTCCTCCTCCTCCTCCTCCTCCTCCTCCTCCTCTTGCCCCTCCTCTCTTTCTTCCCCTAAATCCTCCACCTCTCCACCTCCAGCTCCTTCTCGCCCCCTTTCTCCTCCAGGCCCCCCCCTCCTCATCCCCCACCTCGCCCTCCACCTCGAGCTCCGCCTCGACCCAGAGCTTCGGCGCGGAAAATCCTCAGAGCAGGCACGCCGAGGTTCATTCCCCCTCCAGCTCCTCGTCCTCGTCTTCCTGCTCGTCCTCCTCCCTCCCCTCGCCATCGCTCGGACGTCCATTCCTTGTGCATTTTTCGGCTTCGTGCGTGCTTTTGTCTGCTCGGTGCTCCAGGATGCTCCTCCAGGGTCCTCGCCGAGAAAATTAGCCTGACGAGGAACCCAACCATATGTAGCTGCGAGTGCCGCATTGTGGGTATCGCTTTCGGTGGAGCTCTCTATGGGGAACCGAAGCGTGCGAGGAGTGCGCCGAAATTGGTGGCGCGGACGCATGCGGACTCTGCCACTGGAGCCTTCGGTGGAGCTGCCTATGGGGCCACGAAACGCTGTCCTGGGTGGCGGTGACGCATGCGGACCCTGCCACTGGAGCCTTCGGTGGAGCTCCCTATGGGGCCACGAAGCGCTGTCCTGGGTGGCGGTGACGCATGCGGACACTGCCACTGGAGCCTTCGGTGGAGCTCCCTATGGGGCCATTAAGCGCTGTCCTGGGTGGCGGTGACGCATGCGGACACTGCCACTGGAGTCTTCGGTGGAGCCCCCTATGGGGCCACGAAGCGCTGTCCTGGGTGGCGGTGACGCATGCGGACACTGCCACTGGAGCCTTCGGTGGAGCTCCCTGAGGCCGCGAAACGCTGTCATTGGTGGCGGTGACGCACGCGGACCTTGACACTGGAGCCTTCGGTGGAGCTCTTTATGGGGCCACGAGACACTGTCCTGGGTGGCGGCGACGCATGCGGACCCTGCCACTGGAGCTATTTGTGGAGCTCCCTATGGGGCCATTAAGCGCTGTCCTGGGTGGCGGCGACGCATGCAGACACTGCCACTGGAGCCATTTGTGGAGCTCCCCATGGGGCCACGAAGCGCTGTCCTGGGTGGCGGTGACGCATGCAGACACTGCCACTGGAGCCATTTGTGGAACTCCCTATGGGGCCACGAAACGCTGTCCTGGGTGGCGGTGGCGCATGCGGACACTGCCACTGGAGCCTTCAGTGGAGCTCCCTGAGGCCACGAAGCGCTGTCCTGGGTGGCGGTGACGCACGCGGACCCTGACACTGGAGCCTTCGGTGGAGCTCTTTATGGGGCCACGAAACACTGTCCTGGGTGGCGGCGACGCATGCGGACCCTGCCACTGGAGCTATTTGTGGAGCTCCCCATGGGGCCACGGAACGCTGTCCTGGGTGGCGGTGACGCATGCAGACACTGCCACTGGAGCCATTTGTGGAGCTCCCTATGGGGCCATTAAGCGCTGTCCTGGGTGGCGGTGACGCATACGGACCCTGCCACTGGAGCCGTCGGTGAAGCTCCCTATATGGCCACGAAACGCTGTCCTGGGTGGCGGTGACGCATGCGGACCCTGCCGCTGGAGCCTTCGGTGGAGCTCCCTATGGGGCCATTAAGCGCTGTCCTGGGTGGCGGTGACGCATGCGGACACTGCCACTGGAGCCTTCGGTGGAGCTCCCTATGGGGCCACGAAGCGCTGTCCTGGGTGGCGGTGACGCATGCGGACGCAGCCACTGGGGCCTTCAGTGGAGCTCCCTATGGGGCCACGAACCGTGTGAAGGGTGTCCCGTAATGGGTGGCGGTGACGCATGCGGACGCAACCACTGGGGCCTTCGGTGGAGCTCTGTATTGGGGCCACGAACCGTGTGAGGGGTGTCCTGTAATGGGTGGCGGTGACGCATGAGGACTTAACCACTGGGGCCTTCGGTGGAACTCCCTATGGGGCCACGAACCGTGTGAGAAGTGTGCCGTAATGGGTGGCGATGACGCATGAGAACGCAACCACTGGGGCCTTCGGTGGGGCTCTACGGGGCAACGAACCGTGTGAGGGGTGTCCCGTAATGGGTGGCGGTGACGCATGAGGACGCAGCCACTGGGGCGTTGGGTGGAGCTCTGTATTGGGGCCACGAACCGTGTGAGGGGTGTCCCGTAATGGGTGGCGGTGACGCATGAGGACGCAGCCACTGGGGCCTTCGGTGGAGCTCTGTATTGGGGCCACGAACCGTGTGAGAGGTGTGCCGAACTAATGATTGTGGTGATGATGATGACGATGATGATGGTGACGGTGAAGCTGATGATGGGGAGAGGGAGGGGGGGCAGCGGGAGGAGGAGGAGGAGGAGGAGGAGGAGGAGGAGGAGGAGGAGGAGGAGGGACGCGCGGCGCTGTCTCCTCAAAACGAGAGGACCCAACACCACAGGATGGTTGGGGAAAAAGGCGCACGCCCGAGCTATGCCAGGCCCCCTGGACTGCAGAAGTGTAGAGAGAGGCATATTGCAGGGCCGCCGGCTGGCTCAAATCGTTCGCAAATGCTTCCCCCACTGCAGCTGCTGCTGCTGCTGCTGCTGCTGCTGCTCCTCCTCCTCCTCCTCCTCCTCCTCCTCCTCCTCCTCCTCGTCCTCGTCCTCGTCCTCCTCCTCCTCCTCCCCCTCCTCCTCCTCCTCCCCGGCCCCTCTCCTGCTGCTCCCGCCCTGGCGCGGCGGAGCGGAGGCACAGTCTCGCTCCTCCTCCTTCTTCTGCCGCACGCGCTCCACCTGCTTCGCTCGGCCGGCAGCGGCCGGCGCAGAGAGAGGGGCAGGAGGCAACTGCTGGGAGGTTCTCGTCGGAAGGGCTAATAGGGGGCCAGATGCGAACCCTACTCCTACCCCCCACGACTTCTGAGGGGGCGGGTGGGGTTCGCTTCGCTCGGGAGCTCCCGAACGAAGTGAACCCCATCCTCCCCCTCAGAAATCGTGGGGGGTAGGGGTAGGGTTCGCATGTGGCCCCCTAGCTAAGGAGGATTAAGCCCCATTGGGGGGGGGTTACGCCGGAGTGGGCCCCGCATTGAGCAGGAGCAAGCCGGATTAAGCGGGATTGAGCGGGATTGAGCCGGATTGAGCAGGATTAGGCTGGATTACGCCGGATTCCGGACCTGGGCAAAAACAGGATTCGACCTCCCAAGAGTTGCATCGGGGGGGGGGGCGACGCAGAGACATAGATGTGTTTCACATGTCGGAAACATGTCCCGCAAATGCTTAACAAATGGTTTTGTTTCATGTTTTGAGCAGTTTTGACACATGTTCTAGACGTCTGGAAAAAATTGGCAACACGCTTCCTCTCCACTGATCGTCCCCCACGAGCATGGATGGGCAGGGCGGCATTAGGGTGAAAACAAAAACAAGAGATACCAAGCGATGCCAAACTACGGCCTGCACTGGTCAGGCCGCTCGACGAGGAGGCGCGTGGTATGACTTGGTTTTTCCTGGAAGCGAAAGCGGTGTAGGTAATCCACGCTCTGAGGCATGGCATCCCGTCCCTGCCGGGCGCGACCCCCTCTCGGTACGCGGGGGGGGGGGGCTGCCTGGGCGGGCCGCGGGCGAAGACGCGCGGCCGGGTCAACCAAAGACACCCCCCACGGGTTGCGCACCAGCCCAGTCGCTCGACAGGCCCCCGCCCGGGCGCTTGACGGCGCTAGCACGTGCCCCTGCGCATCCGCGAGCGAGCGCTCGCACGCCGATCGCTCGGGGGGTGCGGCGCGGGGGGCGGCACTGGCTCACAGCCCCCCCGAACGGAAGGTGGACCCCATGATGGTGACCGTCTTCCTCCCATCGTGAGCGTTTGTCCTTCCATGTCTGATCAAGGTTAGAAGATTCTGGAAAAAATCCTCTGGGGCACGAGACGGGCAATCTCGCTATCGATCATATATATATATATATATATATATATGTGTGTGCGTATGTGTATGTGTATGTGTGTATATATATATATATATATATTGCCCGGGACCGCCCCTCCCCCGAAATCGGACTCCCCGAATCACGGGCCCCTGGGACCCTCTGGACCCCCCGGACCCGTGGCACCACGGACCCCCTGGACGCCCCTGCAGGCGGCCCCCAAGAGGCCCAAACCAGAACACAAGAGGCCCCAAAACGGACCCCAAGACGAGGAGGAGGACGAGGAGGAGGAGGAGGAGGAGGAGGAGGAGGATGAACTCATCGGCCCAGCGGCGCGCACAGGTTCAGCAAGCTGCATCCCTTGCAGGAGGTTGTCGCGCAGGCGCCTTGCGAGGTAGCCCACACCTTTCCGCCTAGAGAGCTAGGCCGCTGCAAAAAGAGCGGCTCCCAGACTTCGACGGCTGGGACCCGCTGTGCCTGCGAGGTCGGTGGACATTAGCCGCGCGGCCTGTCTGCGCTTCAAGCCGAAGACGGCAGCGGGACGGTCAGGCAGAGCACCTCGGGCCTTGTTGCACGTGTCTGATGCTGGTTTCATTCTGCGGAGTCGGCTTTTCGCCAGGCGTGAGGAGCTCGGCTCCTGGACAGATGATCGAATCGTCACGGAGCTTGCTCGACTTCCTGAAGCCGATAGCGGGTCACGGTTGATAGCGGTGGTGCAGACGTTGATTCGGCTTTGGGCCAAGGCTCGCAGCTCGATCCCCAGGCGCTGGGCGGCTCGGACTGATCTCGGCGACGTATATAGGGTGCAGGAGAGGCGAGGCTCGCACTTCCACGGCAGCGCGGCCTTCGAGCACAGCCTCAAGGCTGCATTGGCGAAGCTGGTAGGCTGGCACAACGCTCCGGCAACTCTGGATGCTTGGAAGTGCTACGAGCCTTACAGTTCAAAAAGAAACGATGGCGGAAACTCGGCATCACAACTTTCCGCTACGGTTGGCATGGATGGTAGTAGAATCTCATCGGTCACCGCGAGTTCTGAAAGCTTTCGCCTCTTGCTCGGATCTCTGTGTCACTGGCAGGGGCTGCTGGCAGGCTTCCCCCACTTCACCTCCCTCCTCGTCCTCCTGACGCTGCTCGCCGTCCGCTGCCTAGCCAGATGGTGCCCCGAGTGCTTGTGGACGATCTGACGGTCCAGTGGGCGGGGGAGCGGGTGGAGGACGTTCGGAAACTTTGGCTTGCTGTGGCGAATTCTAAGGCTGATGTAACCTTGTGGATGCCATGGCAATGGACACTCTAGCAACCCTATCATTGAATTAAACAGGTGTTATAAATATGTAAAACATGTTATAAAAATGTTTCAAACAGGTTTTCACATATTCAATATCATGTTTGAAACATGTGTTAGGCATCTGGAAATTATTTGGCAGCACGTTTCCTCTCCATTAAGCGACCTCCACACGTGTAACCCCTTGGCCTGACCCTCCAATCTTCTGGTTTTATGTTGTTCCCATCCTACTTAAGGACCACATCCCAGAAAGAATTTCGAGCACCCAGAAAAGTGTCGAAAGAGTGTCGAAAGAGTGTCGAAACAGTGTCGGGCGAGTGTCTCCCAGGGCCCGACACGTGAAGCCCCTTGAGTTTCGGTACTTTTTTTGGCAGCTCGGAATTCTTCCTGGTGATCAGCGCTAAAGTAGGTTGGAGCATCATAATTCTGGGTCCAGGAAAGCTGGTCATGGATCGAGCAGCCGAACTGTCCAGCGGGCGTCCCAGGGCTTCGCAAGCAGCGCAGGCCTCCACGCCAAACGGGGCGTGCGAGACCCTGGGCACGAGCTACAGTCGGGGCGTTTGCCTAAGCAACCCTAAACATAAGTAGCGAGGCCCTTCTCCATAAGTTTAACTTCGATTCCCCATCGAAAACATCAGGAAAACCTGGGGCAAAATGTGGAACAATTAAGGAACACGGAACCCCTCCCCAACGAAAAGGGTTCCTTCTTCAGCGACCCGACTGCACCCGGCGCGGACCGTGCTCGGCCCAGTACAGGAAGTTGGCAGTCCCAGCTCAAAAGGCGACTTGGTGAGGCTCGAGGCCTCCGGCGAGGCGTCGGCCACCAGATCGCGCGCCTCTGGACGGTGGTTCAAAGGTGGGGTCCTGAAGGAAGGGGTCCCAAAGGGTGAGGTGCCTCAACTTGGGCTCCCAACTTCGCGCTTCGCGCTCCGCGAAGCGCGAATAACTTCGCGCTCGCGCGCCGCCTCCCCGAAGGGAGAAAAGGAGGACGAGGAGGAGGGGGAAAAGGAACGAGGACCGCGAAGCGCGAATAACTTCGCGCCCTTGAGGGCGCCCTTGCTCAAGCATCGCAAAATCCAACCTGGGAGACCTGCCTGTCCTGACGTGCCCATCCCTCGGGCCCCCAGCTTTGAACCACCGATCTGGCGCACCGATCGGTTCCCCCCCAGCGGGCCCTGGCGGGTCCCACGAGGGGGTTTAACGGGGCCCCGGGGGAGGCCCCGCCTTCCGGGTCGGCGGCACCCGCCGGAATGCCTCTGCAGTCGGCATGCGACGTCGAAACGGAATCGGAACCCATCGAAATTAGATCGGATCGGAGGAATCAAGATGAGCCCTGTGGGGGCCAACTCTCAAAGAGGACATTGCAGAGCCTCTCGCCTGCTGTTAGACGTACTCGTGTTGGGGGCACCAGACAAGCGATGACAAATGACATCATCCAGCGCGAATTCACGCCAGCTCGCTTTATGCATGTTCATCTGGCCTGGCTGGCGCCCCCCTGCCTCTGCCCAGCCCCTGAGGCGAACCCCCAACCGTTCTGGCGATGGCCTTCGCGGCGCGCACGGCTCGCAGATACCAAGATTGCGGGTGAGCCAAACGAACGACCAAGTATCCGAACCTTGCGCTCTCGGCGCAGAGTGCGCTGCGCAGACGGCCGCCCGCCCGAAGCCGCCTTTCGATTTGATGCAGCATGCATCGCCGATGCAAAACGAGCATCCGCAGTCAGCCCGCCCAGTGTAAGTATAGGAACAAACGTCGGTCCCAGAGTCAGGAGCACCACTGATGGAACTGTATGGCACGCCCGTCTTGTGCCGACTTCGGGGCTGGTTCCTGCCACCGCGGGGATCGTTCGACCTCGAACGATCGGCCGTTTTCGAAGCGTCAAGTCATCCAATGCCGACCGATTTTGGGCCGCCGCCGGCGTCCAACCTTGAACGCTGGCGGCGGGGTCGCCGCCGGTCAACGCGACGCGAACCCACCGCATCGTACAGTCATCGCGCTATCATAAGGAATGCTGAATACTGCGCCGATCCGAAAGTTTCCCCAATTTCGCCACCGTGCTCGCTGCTGCCATCTGGGGGGGCGCGCGCAGGATCAGACTCGCGGGGCCCGAGGGCGGACGGGGGCGATGTCGCGAGGGCGGAGTCGGCGCGCCGATGGGCAGCCCAGCACCTAGTTTGGCTGGAGGGGCCCAATACAATGCAAGGGCGGAGCCTGACCCCCGCCCGGGGTCGCGGGATCGGGCCCCCCTTTCACAATTTGAAAGTTTAAATCCAAAACGATGTACTGACCCGAAAATGAGCAAACGGCATTGTATTTCCTAGACAGAAGCTTTCGGGTTCGGTCATACGACGGCCCGAACAGTTTATCGACCGACCTGAAAGTGGCCAAATCCTATAGGACCTGTGCCAAGAAAAAATTCGGGTCCAGTTCGAACGACCCGAAAATGGGCAAACCGCCTAGGACTCCTTGCAAAAACATGAGGTCTTCGGGTCCACTCCGAAGAAACCGAACATGGGCAAACCGCCTAGAACATCCTATCACGAACGGGGTTTCTCGGTGGTTCCGGGCCTCGTCCGAAGGAGCCGCCGATGGGCAGACCGCTCAGGACTTCCTGCACAAGAAACGGATTCCCGGGTGAGCCACTGTCAACGGGCACGCGCCACGCGCGGGATCGGGGTTCGCACGGGGGCGCGGCTGCTGTCGCCTGTCCAGGGGGCATGCATTGCCGCGCCCTTCCAGCGTAGCGTTTGCGCTGCATTCGCGCGGCGCCGTGCCTCTCAAATCGGAACAGACTTTCGGAGCGCCGAGGTAAGGATCGAAGGGGCTATAGCTCTTGCCGCGGAGAGCCTCGGCCACGACGAGGCTCCCCGACCTCGCTCTGAGGACGGCCCCGAACACGAGCCCCTCCTGGGCCCGTGTCGGTCCTTCCTTCGGCGCCCTGACTGCGCCCCTGCCCTCCCCCCCGCGCGCGCGCGCCGCGCCTTGTCCTCCTGCGCCTTCTCCCGCTTGCCGTCGCGCTCCTCCAGGGCCCTCTGCAGCAACACCAGCCGCTTCTCCTCCGCCGGGAGGCGGGGGCGGGCAGGAGGGGCCTCGGCGGTGCCCCGGCGACGTCGCGGCAGATCAGATCTTCCTCCGGCTACACGCAGGAGTGACCTTGGGTAGGAGGGACCCTTGGTGCGCGGCTTTTTGGGGGCCGCGGGGGACCAAACCTGGGCGCGCAAGCCGCTGCTCCTGCTTCGTTTTCAGCCATCTGGGGACCCACCTGTGCCCGCACCAAAGGTCACTCCGGCGAAAGGTCACTCTTACGCCGAGCCGATTGCTCCGGCTCGCGCCGCGCCGCCGATGCGCCGGCGATGCGGCGGCGATGGGGGCGTCGGTGCCGCCGCCCTCCCTCCAAAGAACTCAGGAGTCGGGCCTCCCGGGGTCCAGCCTGGCCAAGCGTTCGAGCCGCGCCGAGCCGTGTTGACGACAGCCTGCACGGGGGCCCCGAAACAAAAACCTCACACGCAGGACGTCGTCGGCATCGTCGCTGTCGGCGTCGTCGTTGCCACCTCGGGGGTGGACATCGTGAAAATTGCCCGGGGCCAGACCTGGCGAGCGCAAGCCCTCTAACAATACGGCCGCAACGCTCTCTCGAACAGCGGTTAAAAGGGCAATTCTCTCATCGACTTGGCAGGGTGGAGAATGTACCCGCCTCCGAGTCATCTCGGAAGGAGGGGCATCAGCTCGCCGTGGGAGCCTGGGCGCACGGCAGCGGCGTCGCTGGGCCGCGGCCGCCGCGGTGACCCGCGGGCGGGCGATCCCGCGCCACCTTGCCTCCTCCATGGCGCCTCCCCGCTTCCCTCCCCTCCCATCCCTCCTGGTCCTCCCTCTCTTCTTCGCACCATCCGCGATTACTCAGCACGCTTTGTTAAACTTCTTGGAGGAGGAGGCGGAAAGCAGAGGGGAATGAAGCGCGACGAACCTCTGCAGTGCCAAACGGGGCGAGCGGAGGCAAGCAGGGAGGGCTGAGAAGGCCCGCAAAAACAACGACCTGCGGGAGAGTGGGGAAAGAACCCCCACAAGTACCAAATCCGAGCACAACTCTCCTCCCTCCCCCGAACAGGACCGCGGACTGGCCCTCCCCCCCATCCGCGCACGATCCTTTCACACACCGAACATCGGAAGTTGTTACGTCCGATGCGAGTTTCAAGCAGTGTTTGCTTCGGTGTCTCAACATGTTGCTCCCGCTGAAGCGTTAGCCTCGTTTCAGGATCGGCACTATGCTTATGTCGGGCCTGTCCCCCTACAGGGGGATCTTCGACGAAACATACAAAATACCCCCAAACATAGTCAAAACATACTCCAAACATCGTCTGGGGACTATTTTTGTTAGTATTGTTTGACCTTTTTGGAATATTGTGGGGGTATTCTTATTTGTTCGTCCAAAATCCCCCTGTAAGGGGGACAGGCCCGACTTAACACTTATGCTCCCCTCGTGCCCCAGTGCGGGCCAAGCTGTTCTGGAGCCGCAGGCTTCCTCGGCGCTGCCGCCTGGCTCCTCTGCCCCCTCCCCCCGCCCTCCCCTGTTCTCTCCCTGCTCCCTCCCGCTTCTCCGCGTCCAGCTCCTGCTGCTGCTGCTGCTGCTCCTCCTCCTCGTCCTCCTCCCTTCCGCGCCCTCCTCCTTCTTTCTTCCTCCTGCCCATCCGCCACATCCTCTCTCAGCGCACGCAACTCGCCCTCTGTGATTGCGCATGACGCAGGCGGGTCATGGGGGGGGGTCACAGTGCGCTATGACAGCCGTCGGCGGATATCGATAGAAAAGACAGCGCAATGGTCAAGACGGTCAAGGGAGGGGTGGGTGGGGTAGAATGTCAACTATGGCGTGAGAGCGCCTCCCCCCCTCACCCCGCCCCCTCCGCTCGCCCCGCCCCCGCGCCTCCTTGACGCCATCACCCCAAACCTCCGATGCCGTGTTTTTTTTTCAGCAAGGGGCTCCCGGAGCTCTGCACCACTTCGCGGGGATCGTCTTTCTCGTTTCGGAGATCGTTCCTCGACGTTCCCGGGGCCCTGTGGTGAGGGACCCCAGCCGCCGCAGACGCAGAGAAACCTCCGTCCTCCGCGTTTGGAGGCCTGGGGCCTGCGCGGACGGCGCGGGGGGGGGGAAAACTCTGCCGCAGCTGCGGCAGATGGCGGCTCTACACTTGTGGATGCCACGACAACGGACGCCCTAACAGTCCTATCATTGAAGTTGAAGTGTGTGTGTGTGTGTGTGAAATGCCCGAGAAATGCTCTAGACATGTCTTGAACATGTTCCAAACATGTTTAACACATGCTGTAGACATCTGGAAATCATTTGGCAGCGTGCTTCCTCTCCATTGCCACTTGGATCCATTGGATCGTCCTCCACAACTCTACGACGTGCCCATTCCATCCACGGATCCATCTGATCCATTCGGCAGTTGTGGAGGACGCTCCATTTGATCGTCCTCCACAGCTCTACGCCGCAGCGGCGCCACCCAGCGGCCGCAGCCGCTGGCCGGGCGGGGCCGGCGAGAGCCCCCGGGCGACGGTCGCGCGCCGCGCGAGCGGGCGCCGCCGCGGGAGGCCCGCGGGCGGGCGCCCCGGGGCTGGCTCCTGGAGCTCGCGGATCTGGCGCTCCCGGTCGGCCCAGTCGCGGAACTCCTGGGCGGGGCGCGCCGGGGCACCCTGCTCTGACAGTCCCATGGCTATGCCAGGAAAACGCTCTGAGCACGCTTCGAGCATGCTCTTTTGACATGTTTAGGGCATGTTTCGCACATGTTTTAGACACCTGGAACTCATTTGGCCACGTGCTTCCTCTCCATTGATCGTCCTCCACGACGCTACGCACACGGGTGCAGGTGCGCCTGCGAGCGCCCCGCCACACACGGGGGGCCGGCCCAGCGGCTGGGGGGAGGCGTGCTCGGCGCGCTGGCGCCCACTGGACACCTGCACCGATCCTGGCCCGGCCTGGCCAGGATCGGTGCGGGTGTCCCGTCGGCCCCTTGCGAGACAAGGGAGTGAACATTGTCGACACAGACTTCTCGAGGAGAAGAGCTGGCGGCATTTCGCCGCCCAGGGGGGAGCGGAAAAGGTGACCACCTGTGCTTGGCGATCGGGTTTCAAGGGGTGGATCTGGTCACACATCGGGCTCCGATCCTCATCTAAGCGCGATCCCTCACATCGTGAGCCCCTCTGCAGCAGAACGCTCCTCGTGGTCCTGGGAGGGGGTTGGGAGCCCGTCCAGCAGCTGGAGCTCGAAAAGCCTTTCAAAATGGAGGTGCTCATGCCCGATGGGTCTCCTGTGGGTCACGATGTGGCATGATCAATCCCCCGTAAGGATCTACTGACCCGGGTCATTCCAGACCCGGGTCAATCAAGCTTTGCAAGATCACAAAATCCTGCAGGAGCCTGCGCCCAAATCTGGGTCAATGCAACCCTGGCTCTGCAGAATCCTGCAAGATCCAACGCTCTGACTGACCTCCGTTGTTGGAAACCCGGAATGGGTACGGAAGAACTGGGTACAATGCCCAACAACAAACGCTGTCCAAAACCGACAGCGGCTGCTGTTGGGCAGGCGGCCTTTTTCCCAATCAGAGCTTGCCTCTGTAGGGGTCCTAGCGGATTCACAAGGTTTGGTGAGGTTAGCCGCCGATTTCCCGGGTGCCTGGGTGCCTTATAGCCTATAGCCCTATAGCTCCATAGCCCAATAGCCCTGAGTCCCATAGCCCTGTAGCCCTGAAGCCCTATAGCTCCATAGCCTTATAGCCCTATCGCGCTAACAAGATTATGATTGGGTTGTTCTAAGGTGTCATTGTCTTCAAAGAAAACGTCCGCGGCGGCGCGGACAACGAGTCCTGCTCAACATGAACAAGAACTGCTGTTGGGCATCGTACCCATTCGTTCCATACCCATTTCAATCCGGCAGAGGGGAAACGATCAGTGAACACCCCCCCTGCCCCCAAAACTCGAGGTTGGCACGCGCGGGGGAGACTGCGGTCGAGGTTTTTTTTTTTTTTTTTCTCAAGGGCTCAACTGCACGGGGCAAGCTCCGTACCACGGATGGGGAAGGATTCGCAGGATAGGCGAGAATGAGTCAAAAGAAAAATGGAGGCAGGACAACGGAAAGCCACTCGAGGTGGTCGAGGTGCAGGACAAAGGGAGACTGCGGTCGAGGTGCAACGCATCAGACCCACCGCCAACTTTGAACATCGGGGGGAGGGGGAGGCGTTCACAGATGAATATGGCACGAGTCTTCGCCATCTTTGTCCGAGGCCTGTCCTTCCGACCGTTCGCACCGACCCCCGTCTCTTGAGCGCCCCGACCCCGCCTCTTCCTCTCGCGCCCTGGGCATCGTTTGAAAAAGCACTCCCCTTCCCCCTCCCCCCTTCCTCCTCCTCCTCCCCCTCCTCCCTCTCCTCCTCCTCCTCCTCCTCCTCCTCTTCTCCTCTTCTCCTCTTCTCCTCTTCTCCTCTTCTCCTCTTCTCCTCTTCTCCTCTCCGCCTCTTCTCCTCTTCTCCTCTTCTCCTCTTCTTCGCACCGCCTCTGGGCCCCCTGGGCCCGCGCGGAGATCGGGTGCTGCTCGCGGCATCGGGCCGCCTGTTTTGGGGCGGCGAGCCCCGCCCCATGACGCGCAGCCTCCCGTCCGTCGGCGACTGCAGTCAAAAGCCCTAAGAAGGACGGCGCGGTAAGGACGCGAGGCCCTTGGAAGCCGAAGTTGGGAGTTTTGGGGCGGCGGGCGACGAAAACCCCGAGGACGCAAGAGCAGGGAAGAGCAAGGGCGCAGGGGGTACCCAGACAAAGTCGCGCGTCCTTGTCAGGGATTTTGACTGTAGGGGACCGACTACAGAATTGATGTACCCTACGCTTGATTGTCTCGTCGAATCCACGAAGCACGCGCAGCAGGTTCCGTTGATTTGCGGGGCATGCTACGCAGGTTTCGCAGACTCGACGGAAAAATCGACCCTGGGGAAAATCATTCACGTGGTCGATCGAGATGCGAACGAAATCCGCCCGAACCGACAGCGAAGCCGAGACCGACAGGCAAGACCAGCTGGGTGAAGCATCGGGCTTGATTCGGCGATGCATCGCCAATGTGTCGGCCACAGGCCCCCGATATCGAAACCACATGTTCCTGGGCGGGATGGTCCATCATGTCCATTCAGTGGGAGATTGGGGCTCGATGCATCCCCCCCTGAGCCGATACCCAGTAGCGTTGCCTCTGAGTATTCCAAGCTCGTGCTGCTAAGGGGGAGGAGGAGGAGGAGCAGGAAAGGGAGGAGGAAGAAGAAGAGGATGAGAGGATCGGAAGAATGTGGATGGGGGAGGGGGGATTTGCTAGCCGAGCTGTTAAGCTGCGGTATTGCAGATGGCGGGCGGAATAACAGCTTCGTCCGGTGGCAGAGACAGACTATTCCAAACCCATTCTTCTGGGCCACCTCGGACCACTTCTTCCAAACCGCGTTCTCCGGACAAGCTCATCGGCGGACCAACTCCTCTGAGATGAACTCCTTCCTTAGTATTCTGCCTGCCCGAGCGCCAGCACACGGGTGCTGGTGGTGTCGCGTGTACGCAGCTATTTGAATCGTCAAGACGAAGCCAAAACGAGGAGAAAATCGGGTGAGCATAAGTCGAGAATCTCTGATAGCCAGCAACTCTGGAAGATATATCGGGCGCCGCGGCCTTCTCAGAGCGTTCCGGCGAGCTCCGAAAGCGCTCTGGAACGCTCTGGAACGGACTTATCCTCGTCCTAGCCCCGTCCTAGGATCCCCAAGGCGCTCTCTGCCGTCTCTAAACGGAAGGACCTTCGCTAGAGCTGGCCAGGACCGTCTTCCGCCTGCCCGAGCACCAGCACAAGGGTGTTGGTGGTGTCGCGTGCACACCGTTTCGATGGATCCCCAATGCGCCCTCTGCCGCCGTTCAACGGGGGGACTTCTGCTAGAGCTGGTCCAGACCGCAGCCGCCAAGCGTGCGCGGGTGCGCGTCGCGGCAACAGGCCGCCCGTGGTCTGGGAGGCGCTCCGCGCGGCCTTCCCTCCCAGCAGCGCCACCCTCCCTCCGCCTCCTCCCTCCTCCTCCTCCACCTCCACCTCCTCCTCCTCCTCCTCCTCCTCCTTCTCCTCCTCCTCCTCCTCCTCCTCCTCCTCGCCCTCGTCCTCGTCCTCGTCCTCGTCTTCCTCCTCCTCTCCTCCTCCTCCTCCTCCTCTCCTCCTCCTCCTCCTCCTCTCTCTTCCTCCTCCTCCTCTCTCCTCCTCCTCCTCCTTCCTCCTCCTCCTCCGGCTCCTCCTCCTCCTCCTTCTCCTCCTCCTCCTCTTCGTCCTCTTCTTCTTAGTATTATCATTATTGTCCTGATTCGTCTTAGTATTATTGCTATCATTGATATTATCAGCATTCGTATTATTATTATTATTTTTCTTCTTCCTCCTACTCCTCCTCTTCTCCTCTTTCTCCTCCTCCTCCCTCCTCCTCCTCCTCCTCCTCCTCCTCCTCTCCCCTTCACCCCCTCCTCCTCCTCCTCCTTCTCCTTCTCCTCCTCCTCCCTTCTTCTCCTCCTCCTCCTCCCCCTCCCCCTCCCCCACCCCCATCCCCCTCCCCCTCCCCCTCCCCCTCCCCTCCCCCATCTCCTCCTCCTCCTCCTCCTCCTCCTCCTCCTCCTTCTCCTCGGTCGATCCACACGCGGGACGCCCTCACTCGACTTGCTTATCAGAACCGCACGCGCCTTCAGGAAGCAGAGCGGTGAGACCTCCCTGAGGGGACAAGTACTGCCCCCCAGAGCGCCCACTCACTTTTGTATCACATCAGCAGATACGCATGCCCTTTCTATTCACTCGTTTCCTGACCTCTGGATCCTGGCGCCCGTAAGGCTGTGTAATCCGCCACTATCCTCCTCCTCCTCCTGCTCCTCCTCCTCCTCCTCTTCCTCCTCCTCCTCGGTCGAGTCGAGCCTCGATCGAGCCGCAAAGGGGAGGAGGAGGAGGGCGGCGCGCAGTGCTCGCGCGCGGTCCTGGGCCTCCATCAGCTGCATGCGGATCTCCATGTTCTGCTCGTCCGTGGGGGGCGGCAGCATCTGCCCGGCGCCCCAATGGGGTTGAGGGGACAGCCCAGGGGAAACAATGGGAAACACTTCAATTGACAAAGCACAATGGTCAGCGGAGGGGGGGGATCAACCATGATTAGTCTTCAGTGATGAGACTTTAACAACGACAGCAACAACGACAACGACGACAACAACGACAACGACGACGACAACCACCACCACCACCACCACCACAACAACAACACCACCACCACCAACAACAACAACAACATCAACAACAACACTATCATCAACAACAACAACAACAGCAACAACAGCAGCAGCAGAAATAACAACACCAGCATCAACAAGAACAACAGCAACAACAACAATCACTTTAGCCTCATGCGCGATGATTCCACACGAAGCATGCGACCATCATGATAACCATCTCCATCGTGGGGGACTATTGTTCTATAGCGGGATTCGTTATTCCCATTCCCAGATCTCCCGCCCAATGAGCTCTTGCAAGCACCTCCTCCGAATAATTTCAACATATCCCACCTCGAATGCGCATGCCCGTGCCTTGGTGCGCCGATGCGAGACCGCCAGTGGAGCCCCAGCCAAGGGTAAAGCCTTGGGAAGTATCGAGCGACAGGATTGCCTTGGTGGGGAGGGGGCAATCGGCGGCGAGGCAAGGACCTGGCCCTGCATAGAAAGGGAGGGAGTCTCGAGCAGGGCCGCTGCTGTTGCTGGGAGCGGCGCCAGTGCTGAAGAGAGTAGGGCGCTAATCCAGCGTAAAACACAACGAAGTCTATAGCGGGAACACTGGTTTTGTTGGGACGGCGGTTGTCGGCGGCGAGGAGGAACACCGCCTTGAGTAAGAAAGGAAGAAGCCTCGAGCGGAAGCCGTGGTTTTGTCGGAACGGGGGCTGTCGGCGGCGAGGAGCAGCACCCTCCTGAGGAAAAATGGAGGAAGCCTCGAGCGGGAACGTTGTTTTTGCTGAGAGCGGCGCCAATTCAGAAAAGAGAGTAGGGCGCCAGTCCAGCGTAAAACGGGAGGACGTCTCGGGCGGGAGCGCTGGTTTTGTTTGGGCGGCGGCTTTCGGCGGCGAGCAAGAGCACGGGCCCTGAGCAGAAAAGGAGGAAGTCTCGAGCGGGAGCGCTGTTGCTGGGGGCAGCACCGATGAGAGAAAGAGTAGCGCGCCAGTCCAAGGTAAAACGGGAAACGGTAGCGCTGGTTTTGTTGGGACGGCGGCTTTCGGCGGTGAGCAAGAGCACCGGCCCTGAGTAGAAAAGGAGGAAGTCTGGAGCGTTGTTGTTGTTGGGGGCTGGTTTTGGTGCCCACCCAAACCGCTCGAGCGTGAGCCTCATTTTCAATGAAAATGCAGCCGGCGCTGAGGCGAGAGCGCCAAAGCGCCTGGGGGGATCCAACAGTAATAATTGTTTAATATTAACATTAACAGCAGCAGGAACAACAACACACTGCTCTTCAGCGCTGTCACCTCCTGGATGATCGGCCGCTGCTGGCGCGTGCGCTCAGAGATGGAACCGCTGAGAACAATCAAAAACATTCGCGCCCCCGCTCCGAAGCTTCCTGGCACCGCCGCAGAGTAGCCAGGAGGAAGGGGAAACCGCCGAACCCACGAAAGCCATCCGAAAAGCGAGCATGATGTGACCTCGTTGTGCTCCTCCTCCTCCGCCGCCGCGCGGCTGCGACCCCACCCCTCCTGGACGAACGGCCGCTTCCGGCACGCCCGCGCGCCCGACGACGGAACCGCAGAAACATTCCAGAAGGCTTCCGAGGGCCTCCTGATGCTGCTGCTCCTCGTCGTCCTCCTCCTCCTCCTCCTCCTCGGCCTCCTCCACCTCCCTATCCTCCTCATCTTCCTCCTCCTCCTCCTCCTCCGCCGCCTCCTCCTCCTCCTCCCTATCCTCCTCCTCCTCCTCCTCCCTATCCTCCTCCTCCTCCTCCTCCTCCTCCTCCTCCTCCTCCTCCTCCTCCTCCTCCTCCTCCCTGTCATCCTCGCACGCCGGCGACGACGGCCGCCAGCCCGCCCAGGGCCCCCTCCTGGACGAACAGCCGCTTCTGGCGCGTGCGCTCGATGATGGCCAACTGGGCGCGCACTCCCGGGCGGGCGGCGGCGGCGGCGGCGGCGGGCGAGCGCTCCGAGAGCCTGCTCGACGCCCTCGCCTCTTGGGGAGATCTTTGGAGGGGCCCCGGGACACACAGATAAATACACACAAATACTCCAGATTTCGTAATAAAAGGGAGGGGGTCTGGACCCTCCAAGACAAGCCATCTCAGACCCCCCCCTGTGGGAGAACCCTCCAAAACATCGTCCCCAGACCCCCCCCAGGCACTCCAAGACAGCCTGGAAGAGACCCCCCCCGAAATGAGACCCCCCTCCCTTTATTACGAAATCCCGAGTAACAAGATTCCCCGTTGTTTCCCGTATTTTCTGGATTTCTGTCTTCCCCCCCCCACTTCCCTATTTCCCCATATTTTCCTGGGAATCGTCGATTAATTGTGTCTGTGTGTTTTTTCCCCTCCTGAATCTTCTATATCGCATCATCATACTCCATATGTTCCTTCTCGTCTTCCTCTTCTGTCGTCGCCGTCTGCATCTCTGCATCTCCTCCTCCACCTCCTCCGCTTGCTCCTCTTCCTCCTTCTCCTCCTCTTCTTCCTCATCCTCTCGACGACGACGACGAGGGGAAGGACCCAAGGGAGCAGGAATAGAGGGATGGGGCTGGAAGTTCTCGAATGGTCGTCGGAGGTTTCTGGGAGGTCTCTGGAGGAAAAACAGAGACCAAGAAAATGAGAGAGAGAGAGAGAGACAACTAAATAAAAACACATCATATCAAAAGCGGGAGATAAGATAGAGAAAGAGAGAGAGAGAGAGAAACAGACAACTCCGATGCAGTCAGGCCGCCTCCTGACCGCAAGGGGAGGGACATTGGATGCGGAAGACGATAATAGGAATGGTCTTTCTGAGGGTCTTGCAGGTTCTGCACGCTTCCAGATGGCTTGATTTGTTGCCCAAGATTGAGGGAAATTGGATGCGGAAGATGATAAGAATAATGGTCTTTCTGAGGGTTTTGCAAATTCTGCACGCTTCCATATGGCTTAATATGTTGCCAAAGATTCCAGACGGTTCCGGGAGGTGAAGTCTAGTCTGGAGGGGTTCGGGGTGTCGCTCCGCTGGGCCTCCCGGGGGCTCACGAAGGCGGCGACAGTAGCGCAGCTGGCAGCCCCCCAGGAGGCAGGGTAGGAGGCAGGCAAGAGGCACGATGCAGGAAGAGGTGGGAGGAGAGGAGAAGGCAGTAATGTTCTATTCAAAACGAGGACACAACACGAGAGCGATGGATTATTACCTTATTATTGACCAGCCCCTCTAATACGCACACACACACAAACCGGCGCCACGCCACATCCGTCGACCTCTGCGCCGTAAACTGACCCAGCCCTGGGCACCAAACCCTGCAACAACAATACGACAGCCACAACATGATGCTTCGTGGCAATCCAAGATGGCCAGAGAAGGTCTCCAGTCGGCCCCAGGGGCGCCCAAAACGGCTCGTACCACGCCTCCACGGGCTGGTACCAGAGGGCCCAAAACATCCGAGATTGGAGTCGGGACTTCCAGAATGGGGAGGAACAGCGTCCAGAGATGTTTGGGCTCCTCTCCCTTCGGATCGGCTACCACGCGCGGGGCGAGAGGCCCTCCAGAGGACCACGGGGCCCAGCAGCAACCAGGCGGAGCCTCCAGCGGCCCAGCACAGTCAGAATGGCCCAAGACAGTCAGAATCTTTGTCGACCTCTGGGCTCTGTTCGGCTGTCCGCGGGCCCACCTGGCCCTCAGTTGGCCACGCGCAGAGGGGGGCAGGAGGAGGGGGGAAGGCTCCTTAGAAACGCCCTGCTTCTAAGAAGCCTTCCCCCCTCCCCCCATACCCCATTGTGCGCGCCGCCAACTCAGGGTGGCCAACAGGTGCAAGCCGACGACGGGGCTTCGCAGTGTCTGGCCTTCTCCACAAGCTTGAATTCAACTTCGGCGACGACCATGACGAACGGGCCGGGCTGGAAGCAGGGCGCGGGCTGGACCACTGGCGCGCGGGGGGGGGCGGACGAGGAGGCGGACGGAGAGGGAGAGGAGGACGAGGAGGGATGATGTGGGAGAGGGCGGGGAGGAGGAGGAGGAGGAGGAGGAGGAGGAGGAGGAGGAGGAGGACCAGACTAAACCCGAGATGCATCAACGATGCTGCAATACACCCTGCCGTGATGCGCGCGCGCGCGATCGCGCGCGCGCGCGCGGGGCTGGGCGGCAGGCGGCAGGCGGCGCGGCCGCGGCGCCTCGGCCTCCGTTGCGGGCAGGCCCGCGCCGTACGTCAGGTTGGTGAGGGAGAGGACCTCGGGCACCTGGCGGGGCGCTCGGAGGGGGTAGGAGGTAGGAGGAGGAGGAGGGAGGAGGAGAGGAGGAGGAGGAGGCGGAGAGGAGGAGGAGCAGGAGCAGGAGCGGAGGAGAGGAGAGGAGGAGGGAGGAAAGGGGAAGAGGAGGAGGAGGAGGAGGGAGGAGGAGGGAGGAGGGGGAGGGGGAGGAGGAGGGAGGAGGAGGAGGAGGAGGAGGAGGAGGAGGAGGAGGAGGAACTGGACCCCAAGGCGGCAGAGGAGCAAAGGGTACACGAAAGAAGCATGCCCTGGCGGAGGCCCGCGCGGACCGCAAGACTCTGCGTCGGGACCAGGCGGCGGCAAGCTCGAACTCGAGCCCCAGCACACTCGAATCCCACTTCCTGGCTCTTACTGTTTTGTCCCCTACAGTGGGGGCCCGACCACAAGAAACCTGCCACAAGAAACCCAACCCTGAGACCCCAGGATGTCCATAGATTTTTGGTGCGGAGCGTCACGCTTTCCGTAGCAAAACCATCGAAACCCAAGAAACCAAGGGCACCCTGGAGGCAAGCAGGGTGCTTCTTGGCATGGGTCTCCAATGCAGTTGTACAACTTATACTGCCGTCATCGTTATCACGAGCCGAGGGGGGTCTGCGATATCCCCCACGACAGCGAACGCTTTCCTTCCGTGTACCGGGAACATGCTGAGTCCCCTGCCGCGGCCACCGCTCAGGCCTCCGCCCACGCGTTCGAGGCCCAGTCGAAACCCTCTGCTGCGCCCTCGGCACTGCTCCGCTGCTGCTCCTCCTCCTCCTCCTCCTCCTCCTCCTCCTCCTCAGTGCGCGCACGGGCTGAGCGGCAGACGCCCGCTGCGTCGGAGGACGAGGAGGGCAAGAGAGCGGAGGGGAGGGCCGCGTCGTAGTGCCAGCCGAGAGCTTGGGGGTGCGGCAGGAAGCATTGAAGACCCTCTGCGTTGAATCTTAAGTCGGGCCTGTCCCCCTACGGGGGGATTGTCGACGAAAAATGAAACATACCCAAAGAATGATTAAAAAATAATACTCCAAAAATAGTCTGGCGACTATGGATTTTAGCATATTGTTGCCATTTTGGGGCATTTTTGGGGTACTTTTCATTTTTCGTCGAAAATCCCCATGTAGGTGGACACGCCCGACATAAGTTTAATCGCATGATGGTTATTCTCATGACGATTATAATTCGATGCTGGGCACTGGGCGCCGCGTCTCTCCGTCCCGCCGAGGCGGCCCGACACACGAGGGGCTGGGCGCTGGCGCCAGCATGGCGCCCGCCTGGCGGCGGGGCCGACACCCCAAAGGCTCACCAGCGTCCTTTTTCTGCGGCGGATGTAGACTTAGGTCGGGCCTGTCCCCCTACAGCGGGATTTTCGACGAAAAATAAGAAATACCCCAAAGGGAGTCAAAAACATAGTAGAAAAAATCGCGGGCCCAACGGGCCAGAGGCGTGCTAAGATCTCCGGTAACTGGTTAACAATATTTCTAGTTCGCGCGCGCGGGGCGGCCCCTGGATCAAAAGTACCCCGAGAGGAGCCCGAGAGGGTCCCGGGAGGAGCCCGGGAGGGTCCTGGGAGACTCCCCCGGGGCCCTCAGGAGCGAGGCCCCCAAGACTGCCCAAAGGGCCCCCGAGACGCCCAAGAGCGCTCCAAGACGCCGATGATGACCCCAAGACGGCCCAAGAGGACTCCAAGTGGCCTCCAAGAGGCCTCACAAGAGGGCCCCGAGAGGCCAAAATCATAAATGTTACGATGGTTTTGGAAGGATTTGGGCCTTGTCCCCTCGGCCATCCCCTTTTCGGCCATCCGATGCTCCAAGACGGCCCAAGAGGCCCCCAAGAGCGCCCCAAGACGGGCCAAGAGGCTTCCAAGAGGGCCCCAAGAGGGCCCAAGAGGGCCCCGAGACGGCCCAAGAGGCGCCCAAGCCGGCCCAAGACGGCCCCAAGACGGCCCCAAGAGGAGCCCAAGAGGGGGACCACGAACCGAAACCTCGCGCCTTCCGCCCCAAGAGGGCCCCAGGAGGCCCCGAGAGGCCCCCAAGAGGCCCCAAGATGCCGCCAAGAGGCCCCCAAGAGGCCCCAGGAGGACCCCAGGAGGCCCCCCAGAAGGCTTCAAAAATGCCTCCCAGGCGCCCCCGAACGGCTTCTCAAAAGACACCAAGAGGCCTCCCAAAGAAGCATCTTGACGACGACCCTGTTTGGCCCCAAGAGCAACCAACGCGAAGCTTCCTCCTCCGCCTCTTCCTCTTCCTCCTCCTCCTCCTCCTTCTCCTCCTCCTCCTACTTATCTTCATCCTCCTCCTCTCCTTCTCATCCTCCCTTCCTCCTCCCCTCCCTTTCCCAATCCTCATCTTCTTCCTCCTCGGCGGCGCCACAATGGCCCCGGGCCCACGGCGAAGCAGTAGCGATCATGCAACATGGGCCGGCGGAATGAGCGAAGCGATTGAATAATCTGGGGACTATGTTTTAAATATTTGTTGACCTTTTTCGGGTATTTGGGGGGTATCTTTTATTTTTCGTCGAAAATCCCCCTGTAGGGGGACACGCCCGACATAAGTGTAGACGCAAGCAACATGCACCAGCGAACAGGTCGCATCCCCAGGCCAACAGGCCACCATGCACCGGCGAACAGGACATGCACCGGCGATCATACCTTTGGGCCCCTCCTCCTCCGCCTCCTCCTCCTCCTCTCTCGGCCGCGCCCTGCCGGATCGACACTGCATGTCTGAACGAACCGTCGAATTTACGTCGTGCCAGCGACATCCACCAGCAGAATGCCCTGGCGAACAGGCCCACACACACACACCGGCGAGCAGGACCCATCTTGGGATGCTTTTGGGGCTGTCTTGGGGGCCTCTTGAAACATCTTGTGCTCTCATCTTTGGACCCATGTTTGCCGCGCTGGTCTGTCTTGGAGTGCGGAGTGGGAGAGATGGCCCGTCTTGGAGTGCGGAGTGGGAAAGATTGCTCCATTGGTCCGCCTCTCCCTCCGCCCTGTACTCTTCGCCCGATTTGCTCGTTACTCCTCTTCCTTCTGCCCCTCCTCCTTTGTCCTTGATTTCTGCTGCCCCCTTCCACCCTGTCTTTCTCCTGCCCCCCCATGCCTCCCTACTCCCTGCTCCACCGCCCCATCCTCCTCTCGCAGCTCGTGGCGGAGACTGCCCATCACCGTCGCTGACAATCGTCGCTTGCATCGCCGCAATCATCATGCTCATAGTAGGTTGCCTGGACTGCGCATCTCGCCCAACATGGTTTCCAAGAAGACCTCAGATGCCATCGATGGCCTCCAAGACGGCGCACGCCCCCAAAGACCCCAAAGGGGTCACCAAGAGAAGGCCCCCAAGAGCAGGGCCAGATTGACAGTGCGTGACGCAAACGCTTCCACACTGGCAAACAAGACATGCACCTGCAAACAGGTCGCAACCACCGGCGAACAGGACATGCACCCGCGAACCAGCCTTCGTGCGAAAAGGGACGGTGGTGAGCCTCCTGGACCAGCTGCGCGCTGCAGCCTCAGGCGAAACAGGCCGGACCACCTCACACGCGACACCTCGGGGCTGACAATTTGAGGATGTCTTAATCGGAACGGCCTGGACCACCTCAGGCGCGGTGTCCGAGGATGTCTCAGGCGAAACGGCCCGGACCACCTTTCGTACGGCATCTCGGGGCTTAGAATTTCGAGGATGTCTCAAGCGTCACGGCCTGGACTACCTCGCGCAAAGGATCTCGGGGCTTAGATGTTCTAGGAATTCTCAGGCGAAACGGCCAATCCAGGACAACTCAGAAACGAGAGTTGTGAAGACGTCTCAGGTGAAACGGCCCAGACCACCAAATCTGTTTGAGGATGTCTCTGCTCCCCTTTCCCTCGGCTGGAGTTAGCTTCTGTCACAGAAATAGCCCCGTTCGACAAGCTGCTTGAGGAAACAACTCCCCCTCCCCTCCTCCTCCTCCTCCTCCTCCTCCTCCTCCTCCACCTCCTCCTCCTCCTCCTCCTCCTCATCATCATCATCATCATCATCACCCTCCCCCCTCCTCTCGGGTCGGGCGAAAGGGGGGGGATAGCAAAGGGGGGGTTTGAGAATCACCTCACGTAGCTGCTTTTCCCCGCGCCACCCTGCGCCGGAGGCGGCCATGTATCGAGGAATGGGACCCTCGGCGAGGCCGAAACCAGCTGCACGCAGCAAATTTCGTAACCCCCACTTCGGCGGTGGACAAACCTCCCTTTAGTGAACCTCCCTTTAGTGAAAACGGCCGGGGACCGAAAACGACGGCCCTGGACCCGCAAAAACGACGGCCGCGACGCCCCCTCGCGAACCGAACACGGCCAATTCGCTAATCGACGTGTCAGGGTAGGAGGTCTGTCCACCCCCGAGATATGCAGGACCCAGGAAGTAAGCCTGATCGATATACAGCAGGTTCGTGTCGTGCTGGCTTCGGCGCTGGCTTCTGACACCGCGGGGGGCGTTCCATCTCGAACAAGTGGCCGCTTCCGAAACGCCAGATCGTTCAACATCCACCGATTCTGGGCCGCCGGCGGCGCTCAATGTCGTCCGGCCCGATCCTCGCGACGGGCCCCGACCCCCGACGCCATGATTTTTTCATGGCGTCGACCCCCCGAGGTCTCGACCCGTTCCCCGGGACCGGTTTCTCGTCCCGAGTCCTTCTTTGACGGCCCCGAGGGCCGGCAAGGGCCCCTCAGAGGCCAAAAACAGCGAGAAACCTTCCTTTCTCGTCCCGAGTCCTATTTTGACGGCCTCGAGGGCCGGCAGGGGCCCCGAGAGGCCAAAAACATAAAAAAAAAAAAAAAAAAAAAAAAAAAAAAAAAAAAAAAAAAAAAAAAAAAAAAAAAAAACTCCCGCCGCGATTTCTTCACAACTCGAGGGGGTCTTTGGGGGCCCGGCGGGGCCCGAGGGCCGATAAGGGCCCCCAGAGGCCAAAAACAGCGAGAAACCTCCCGCCGCGATTTCTTCATCACTCGAGGGGGTCTTTGGGGGCTCGGCGGGGCCCGAGGGCCGGTGAGGGCCCCTCAGAGGCCAAGAACAGCGAAAAACCTCCCGCCGCGATTTTCTCACGCCTCGAGGGGGTCTTTGGGGGCTCGGCGGGGCCTGACTTCAGATCCGCCCTACTTTGGCTTTTTTTCCAATTTAAAATTGCGTCGGGAATCCACCTATAAGAGGCCGAAAAAGTAGGGCGGAAATTGCTGCACCCAACATAAAATAGCGCGGAAATCCACAGAAACAGCAACAGAAAAGTAGGGCGGAAACTGGCATCAGCGGGGCTTGAAAAATAAGGCGGAAATTCCAAGCCCTACTTACGAATTTCCCCAAAGTAGGGCGGATCCGGAGTCAGGGGGGCGGGCGATTTCTTCCGAGGGCCCGTGAGGGCCCCCAGAGGCCAAAAACAGCGAGAAACCTCCCGCCGCGATTTTCTCACACCTCGCGGGGGTCTTTGGGGGCTCGGCGGGGCCCGAGGGCCGGTGAGGGCCCCCAGAGGCCAAAAACAGCAAATAAAAAAACAAAAAAAAACCTCCCGCCGCGATTTCCTCATCACCTCGAGGGGGCCTTTGGGGGCTCGGCGGGGCGGGCGCCTGGTCCGGCCGGACGAAGTACTCCGGGGAGAAGGGGTCCTCGCGGGCGGCGGAGCCGCGGAAGGCGGCCGGCCGCGCGCCGGAGCAGCACATTATTGGGGGGGGGGGCCGCGGGGGGCGGCGGGGCGAGAGGCGAGACGTTTGGGGGGGGGAAGGGGTGGGGAGGAGGGGGAGAGGGGCTGGGAGGAGGGAGGGAGGAGGGAGGGGCCCAGACCCCCTCGAGTAATGAAAAAATCACGACGGGAGGTTTTTCCTAATTTTCGGCTTCCAGGGGCCCTCACCGGGCCTCGGGAGCGACAAAAAACGACTGAGGATGCAAAGCCGGCCATGGGGAAAGGGTCGGGACCTCTGGGGGTCGACGTAATGAAAAAATCATTACGGGAGTCTGGGGAGGGAGGGAGGGAGGGAGGAGGCCAGGGAAGGGAGGGGATGAGGGGGAGGAGGGAGGGAGGGAGGGAGGGAGGGAGGGAGGGAGGGAGGGAGGGGAGGGGGAGAAGAAGGAGGAGGAGGAGGAGGAAGACCAATGTTAACCGAAGACTCACCAACGATGTTGGAATACACCCTCCCTCCAGGCTCCCTCTTCATGAGCCCCTACAAAAGTTCATTTCCAATGGAGGAATTGCCCCGTAGGGGGACAACCGCGTGAAAATCCTGGACCGTCACAAAACACAATCCTCAGAAGTCCCAACGCCACGAATTAACCTGACTGGCATGTCTTGGCGATCCTGGATCGTGCCGGAACACTGCTCCAGGGACTTCAACACCGCGAATCAGCGTAGCTGTTGCGCCCTGGTGATCCTGAATCGCTCAAAAACACAATTTCCGGTACATTCACAATGAATACATTGAAAATCGCGATGTTTAAAATGAGAGTGCGCGGCGCTAGGGCGAGAACCACATTTTGGAAACAACCCGCCTTCAATCCGTGAAACTCTTGCACATGTTTGGAACGAATGTGCGCAACGCTAGAGCGAGCACCACAGAAAATGGCCCGCCCTCAATCCGTGAAGCTCTTGCAAATTTTCGGAACGAATGTGCGCGGCGCTAAAGCGACAGCCACATTTTGAAAACGGCACACCCCCAACTCGTGAAACTCTTGCAGTTTTTGAATCCGAATGTGCGCGGCTCTGAGGCGAGAGCTACATTACCTAACAGCGAAGACTGGTAGGTTTCTAGTGGTGTCAAAAGAGAGCAGCACATTACTCCACGGGGGGGTCTGGGCAGCCGTTGGGGAGGTGTTGGGGGGCAGTTGGGGGGCCGTTGGGGATTGCCGGGGAACCTCGTTTTTCGCAAACAGTCACACACTTCGTGCTCTTCGACCTCCCAGAACTCCATTCTTCGACCTCCCAGAACTCCATTCCCGGGCCACATTCTGAATGCCCGGAGCCAACTGTAGGCCACTTCGTGGTCTTCGAGTTCCCAGAACTCCATTCCCGGGCCACATTTTGGATGCCCGGAGCCAACTGTAGGCCACTTCGTGGTCTTCGAGTTCCCAGAACTCCATTCCCGGGCCACATTTTGAATGCCCGGAGCCAACTGTAGGCCACTTCGTGGTCTTCGAGTTCCCAGAACTCCATTCCCGGGCCACATTTTGAATGCCCGGAGCCAACTGTAGGCCACTTCGTGCTCTTCGAGTTCCCAGAACTCCATTCCTGGGCATGATTTTGAATGCCCGGAGCCAACTGTAGGCCACTTCGTGTCTTCGAGTTCCCAGAACTCCATTCCCGGGCCACATTTTGAATGCCCGAGCCAACTGTAGGCAACTTCGTGCTCTTCGACTTCCCAGAACTCCCCTGGGCCACATTTTGAATGCTGAGGCAGGCTGATGCTGCGGTGAGGCAGGCTGAGGCAGGCTGAGGCTGAGGCCGAGGCTGAAGGCTGATGAGGCTGAGGCTGAGGCTGAAGCAGGCTGAGGCTGAGGCTGAGGCAGGCTGATGCTGAGGCAGGCTGAGGCTGAGGCTGAGGCTGATGCAGGCTGAGGCTGAGGCAGGCTGAGGCTGAGCCGAGGCTGAAGGCAGACTGAGGCTGAGGCTGAAGCAGGCTGAGGCTGAGGCTGAAGGCTGAGGCTGAGGCTGAGGCTGAGGCAGGCTGAGGCTGAGGCTGAGGCTGAGGCAGGCTGATGCTGAGGCAGGCTGAGGCTGAGGCTGAGGCTGATGCAGGCTGAGGCTGAGGCAGGCTGAGGCTGAGGCCGAGGCTGAAGGCAGACTGAGGCTGAGGCTGAAGCAGGCTGAGGCTGAGGCTGAGGCAGGCTGAGGCTGAGGCTGAGGCAGGCTGATGCTGAGGCAGGCTGAGGCTGAGGAGGCTGATGCAGGCTGAGGCTGAGGCAGGCTGAGGCTGAGGCCGAGGCTGAAGGCAGACTGAGGCTGAGGCTGAAGCAGGCTGAGGCTGAGGCTGAGGCAGGCTGAGGCTGAGGCTGAGGCAGGCTGATGCTGAGGCAGGCTGAGGCTGAGGCTGAGGCTGATGCAGGCGAGGCTGAGGCAGGCTGAGGCTGAGGCGAGGCTGAAGGCAGACTGTGGCTGAGGCTGAAGCAGGCTGAGGCTGAGGCTGTGGCAGGCTGAGGCTGAGGCTGAGGCAGGCTGATGCTGAGGCAGCTGAGGCTGAGGCTGAGGCTGAGGCTGAGGCTCTGATGCAGGCTGAGGCTGAGGCAGGCTGAGGCGAGGCCGAGGCTGAAGGCAGCTGAGGCTGAGGCTGAAGCAGGCTGAGGCTGAGGCTGAGGCAGGCTGAGGCTGCCTGAGGCAGGCTGAGCTGAGGCTGAGGCTGATGCAGGCTGAGGCTGAGGCAGGCGAGGCTGATGCCGAGGCTGAAGGCAGACTGAGGCTGAGGCTGAAGCAGGCTGAGGCTGAGGCTGAGGCAGGCTGAGGCTGAGGCTGAAGCAGGCTGAGGCAGGCTGAGGCTGAGGCTGAGGCTGCAGGCTGAGGCTGAGGCCGAGGCTGAAGGCAGACTGATGCTGAGGCTGAAGCAGGCTGAGGCTGAGGCTGAGGCAGGCTGAGGCTGCAGGCTGAGGCTGAGGCTGAGGTGAGGCTGAGGCTGAAGCAGGCTGAGGCCGAGGCTGAAGGCAGACTGAGGCTGAGGCTGAAGCAGGCTGAGCCTGAGGCTGAGGCAGGCTGAGGCTGAGGCAGGCTGAGGCTGAGGCTGAGGCTGATGAAGGCTGAGGCTGAGGCAGGCTGAGGCTGAGGCCGAGGCTGAAGGCAGACTGAGGCTGAGGCTGAAGCAGGCTGAGGCTGAGGCTGAGGCAGGCTGAGGCTGAGGCTGAGGCAGGCTGATGCTGAGGCAGGCTGAGGCTGAGGCTGAGGCTGATCAGGCTGAGGCAGGCTGAGGCTGAGGCCGAGGCTGCAGGCAGACTGAGGCTGATGCAGAGCAGGCTGAGGCTGAGGCTGAGGCAGGCTGAAGCTGAGGCTGAGGCTGAGGCTGAGGCAGGCTGAGGCTGAGGCTAATGCAGGCCACTGCGACTGTCATCGCGAATGCGACTACGACTGCGAGAACAGCAGAACTCTACAACTGGATTCTCATCTGAATCTTAAGGGGGATGCTTCCAGATATGCTCCTACACATCGCTGTTAGGTTGCTTTGCCGGGATAATTTTGAAAATGTCCCGCCCTCAAGATGTGAAACTCTTGCGAGCTTTGGAAGCGAATGTGCGCGGCGCTGAGCCATGTGCTGGTTTGCATTGTTGCTTCGATTTCCTTTGGTGTTGCTTTGCGTAGCTTTGGGCTGGAAACTAGTATCGCGCTGTTTTGTGCTGCTTAGCGATACCTTTATTGCGCTGCAGCACTTCGATCTCTACTCTGCATTGCATCACATTGTATTGGTATGTTTTGCTGTTCATCGCATTGCGTCGGAATTCTAGGTGGAGACATCACCGCGAAACTTCGATAAATCGAAAGGGGGTTCCCAAGGAGGGCCCTGGGGAACTCAGTCTCGAAACAATGCTGGCCCTCTTGCGCCAGAAGAGCTAAAACAGAAGAGCTTTGGACGCGGGAAACCTTCAGCCTGGAGGTGCCAGAGGGATGGAGAAGTCAGAGGGTAGGCAGTGCGGAGGGAGTCGAGGGGCATAACGGAGGGAGGGAGGCAGCAGGCAAGGGGAGGGGAAGGAGGGACGGAGGAGGGAGGGAGGGAGGGCACAGGGAGGGAGGGAGGGAGGGAGGGAGGGAAGGAGGAGGGAGCGACGGAGGGAAGGAGGGAGGGAGGGAGGGAGCGAGGGGAGGGGAGGGCCAGGAAGCGGGGGAGGGCGGCACAGGGAGAGCGCCACGCGCGGCCAGCCCGCCGGCTCTCCAGCACAGCGCCCGCCCCGCTGCGCGGCTCCCCGAGGCCCGGCAGACGCACGAGGCACCCGCGCCGCCACCGCCACGGCGCCCTGCCAGGGCCACCTGCATGGGGCCCCGAGGCGGGGGAGGCCCTGCACTGCGTCGAGTCCTGGAGCCCAGGGCGGCCCTGACCGGGCACCGCGGCTCCGTGCGGGTGCCTCTTCGGGAGCGGCCAAGAGGGGGGTGTCCAAGAGGGGGGGGTGCAAATCATGACCGGCGGCATGTGCGCGGCCCAGCGGGGGGGGCCAGGGACGTAGTGGAACAAGAAGAGGTGCCATGAAATCTGGGGAGATACCATGGCCCTCGCCATGATATCCATCCCCCCCCCCAGTCATCACCCCCCTCTTTTCCGCTCCCGACCTCTGCGAGCGGCAGTGCTCACCTCGGTGCCGGGTCCAGGATCTTCCAGAGGATGCCGCCGAGGCAGACCGGCAGGATCGTGCAGCCGACGAGCAGCAGGCCCAGCGCCGGCAGGCGCAGCGGGAGGCCGGCGCCGCCGCGCTCGCGCTCGCGCGCGGAGAGCCGCAGGTACAGGAAGGCCGGCATGATGAGTGCGATGGTGTTGCTGCCCACGGCGCCCACGATCGCCAGCGTGATGCCGAGCTCTTGGAACGCGGACGCGAGGGCCACGGAACCGAGCAGTATCGCAACAGTGGTGCCGCGGCGCCAGTATCGCTCCTCCCTCCGGTGGAAAAAGCGCCCCTGCACATTCTGGGCAAGGATCATCACCGAGCGGCGACACGGGTGCAGCTGCAGAGGGTAGGTGAAGACCACGGCTATCATGACCAGTCCACGGCCCGCCAGCAGGAGCAAGCTGTCCGGCAGGTCGAGGAGGAAGTTCGGACCGAGTCCACGACCGAACCTCATATACCCGCCGCAGGCTGCGAAGGAATAGATGATCCCGCCGGCGCCGGCGCCGGCCACCAAGATGAGGTCGAGCCTACCGACGGTGCGCCCGCGGAGCTCCGTCGCAATGGAGAAGAGGTTCTGGTGGCAAGTGAAGCTGAAGATGAATATGGGCAGTGAGGTGGCCACCGCCCGCAGGTCCAGGTCTGCCGGCGGGAGCAGCTGCCACTCCCGCCCCGAGCCCGCTGCCGGCGGCGGCGGCGCGGGGAGCAGGCTCAGAGAGTACAGGACCACGAGCACGACGACGTAGAGCCAGGCAGATATCGCGAACAGGTTCTGCGACGCGGTCTTCGTGATGCGCTTGTGGAAGACCGTGGGCGCGATGACAGCGCAGGCGACAAAAGCGATCACGCATCGGCGCACCTCTTCCTGGCTCGTGTCCCACATCGCAATCTCCAAAACGAGCTGCGCCCCTATCTGCCCAACGACCTGCAGGTAACTCGTCGCTACCCCAAAGCACTTCACGGCGATCGCCGCATCCACCACGTGCCGAGCGCACGGCGCCACCGCACAACAAGCCCCGTAGAAGGTGATGTCGGCCGGGCCTTGTGAGCCTTCCGTGAGCGCGATGGCAATCACCGACAGCAGGTGGAGCGCGAACGCGGCCAGCAGCCCCGCGCCCCACAGCATGGTGGCGCCGAGCGCCAGCCCGACCGTGGACACGGCCCAGGGCAGTCCCAGCAGGCCGACCCCGAGCAGCGTGTTGGTCAGCACGCACCAGGAAGAGAAGATGCCCGCCACTGGCTCCTTGTGCTGGGGCTCCGGCAGCTCCAGCAGCGGGGCCTCCGGCTCTCCGCACACCGAGGGTGCTGGCGACGCCGCGGGCGAGCACATGGGGTCCACCAGGTGGGTCGTCGGGGAGAAGAACGCCACCGGCGAGCGGAATGATGGCGCTGGGTGGCTGTCCAGGGGAGCCCATGAGAGGGGGCCGCCTGCGCCAGCAAACCTAAGCCGGGATCGGCCAAGGTCTGGCCAGGTCGGGGCAGATCAGGCCAGCTTGGGCCGGATCTGGCCAGCATCTGGCCAGCATCTGGCGAGGAGGTGCGAACAATAGGAGCCTCCACAGCTGAAGCGACGTGGCCGGGAGGTGCAATCAAATTGAACATTCTTGCTCCCGTGGACAGCCACCCAACTGGCGTCAAGTCAGGCTCCGTCCTGAAGTTGGCGACGTCTGCGGTACACGTAGGCGTGCCAGAGGGCGTCTCCTGACTCGGCTCCACACGGGGGTGCCAGCAAACGGAGAACCTCTGGAAAAACAAACGTGGGAGACCTGGACCATTCTGTGGAACCCACCAGGTGCACCAGGCAGGCAGTGGATTGAGAACCCCCAGGGACGCGCCAGCAAAGCCGGGGAGTGTCTGGAAGGCCTCCGGAGATTCGGGCCGGGCGAAAGGGGGGGATAGCAAAGGGGGGGTTTGAGAATCAGCCCACGGAGCTGATTCTCCTGGCGCCTCCCGGCGCCGGGAGGCGGCCATGCATCGAGGAATGGGCCCGTCGGTGGGGCCGAATCCAGCTGCATGCAGCAGATTTCCCAGACCCCCGACGTCATGATTTTTTCATGACGTCGACCCCCCGAGGTCTCGACCCATTCCTCGGGACCGGTTTTTCGTCCTGAGTCGTTTTTTGACGGTCCCGAGGGCCGGTAAGGGCCCCCAGAGGCCAAAAACGGTGAAAAACCTCCCGTCGCGATTTCTTCATCACTCGAGGGGGTCTGGGGACGCGCCAGCCAAGCCGGGGAGTGCCTGGAAGGCCTCCGGAGGTGCCGCGGGGGCTGCAGCCCCTCCCGAGGCAGGCGCCCCCGCTTCTGGCCATCGCTCGGACGTCCATTCCCTGTGTTTTTGGGGGTTTCGGGCGTGGTTTTTTTTCGCCGAGTGATCAAGAATGCTCCTCGATGGTCCTCGCCGAGGAAAAAACGCACACGTCCGAGCGACGCCAAGGCTTCGGAGCCGAGCCGCCGGGCGCGCGGGCACGGCCGGACCGATCGGCACGCACGCCCTCGCCGCGGGCAGAGGCGCGCGCCGGCGGGCCGCGCCCGCCGCGGAGGCCCTGGGCGGGGCGGGAGCCCTGGATGGTCTGTAGGCGGGCGCTCTCCATGGATGACTTTTGTGGCCGGCTGCGCACACACTGGCCATCGCTCGGACGTCCGTTTCCTGTGTTTTTTTTGGAGTTTCGTGTGTGTGTTTTTTCTTCGCCAAGTCATCAAGAATGCTCCTCGATGGTCTGGAGATGGTTTGTAGACGTTGGAGGCCTGGAAATGGGCACCAACACCAACACAGGGGTTTGCCTCCACAGGGGGAGGATGGTCCTAGATTTCGGTGTGGGTGGTAATGGTTCGATCACCTTGGAGGCCAGAATGCTACCACCGTCACCGAGGTCGGGATTTTCTTCCCTCGGTGGAGGCACACCGCCGATGTTGGTGTTGGCGTCAATCTCTAGGCTTGCGAAGACGGCAGCCCTGGATGCCTTGTAGCCGGCTGCGCACGCAAGGAGTGGCCATCGCTCGGACGTCCATTCCCTGTGTTTTTTGGGGGTTTCGTGTGTGTGTGTGTGTGTGTGTGTGTGTGTGTGTGTGTCTGTGTGTGTGTTTCGCCAAGTGATCAAGAATACTCCTCGGTGGTCCTCGCCGAAGAACAAACGCCCACGTCCGAGCGACGCCAAGACACAAAAAAGTGGCCCTGGGCAGGAGCGGCCCGTGGTGCGCGGCGTCTTTTCGGGGGGCGCGCTTGGGGGCCGGGCCCGGGCGCGCAGGCCGCCGCTGCCGTCGCACCGCGTGCCGCGACCGGGGGCCCCCGGTGAGTAGGCCCGCGCCACGGGTCACTCCGGTGGAGGGTTCACTCTTGCGCGTGGTCGACTCAGGGTCAGGTCGGGCCTGTCCCCCTACAGGGGGAGCTTCGACGAAACATAGGAAATACATCCCCCCCGAAAAAAAAGCATCAAAAAATAGTCCAAACATAGTCTGGGGACTTTTTTTGAATATGTTTTGCCCTTTTTGGGACATTTTTAGGGTATTTTCTGTCTTTCGTCGAAAATCCCCCTGTAGGGGGACACGCCCGACATAAACTTAGGGGGGCTCCCCCCAGAACCGGCTTTCCGTCCTGAGCCATTCTTCGATGGCCCGCAGGGCCCGGGGAGGGCCCCCAGAGCCCCAGGGCGGCGCAGGATCTCCAGGACCCCTCTCCTCCAGGACAGGCGCCGAGCGCGTGCACACGAACGACCGCGCGCAGACGCCGCGCGGGGGCGGAAGCCGCTGCCCGCGAGCGCGCAGGGGCACGCACGCACACGCGCACGCCCTCCGCGCTCGCGCGCGCACGCACGAGGCCACCGCGCGCCGGAGGCTCACGTAGCGCGGGGCCGCGCGCACGTGCACGCGCGCGGGCGGGCCCCTGGTGGTCTCCAGGCCCCGCAGGCGGAAGGCCGCTGCCACCTGCGCGGCCGGCGGCGCCATCGCTCCCGGCCCCACCGGCGCCGGGCGCCGGGGGGGTGCCCTTCCCCTCCGCCTCCGCCTCCGCCTCCGCCTCTGCCTCCCTCCTCCGCCTCCCTCCTCCTCCTCCTCCGCCTCCCTCCTCCTCCTCCTCCTCCTCCTCCTCATCCTCCTCCTCCTCCTCCTCCTCCTCCTCTCCTCCCTCCTCCCCCTCCTCCTCCTCCCTCCTCCTCCTCCCCTGCCTCCCTAGTAGTCCAAGAACCGGGCTGGGGGCTCGCGCCGCACGTGCGCCCGCCAACCCGCGGTCCCCTCGCCTGTGTGGTCTTCCATCGGGGCGAAACGCACCTGGAAAAGATACATTGTGGCGGGTGCGCCGCATGAATAGTGGCCCTGCTGTGTGCCGCGCTCCGCGCCCAGCGGGGCCTTGGCACGGTGCAGGCGCCCTCCCGGCGGAAGCGCGGGGGGTCTGTGCACCATCCCGGGGCCCGGAGGGAGCCCGGCCGGGCCTGCTGCGGAATCGAGGGGTATAACGATCGGGGGGGGGCTGGCATGGGGGGGGGATGTCCTCAGCCTGGAATGGCGATGCGATCGCCGCGATGTCCGGCGATAGGGCCGCTCCGTATACAGTCGGGGCGTTAGACCTAAGGAACCCTTAAGAAAGGGAACGAGGCCCCTTTATTCCCATGAGATGAAACCATCATCGATTCCATTTGCCTGTCGAAAAACATAAGTAATCCTAGGCAAGCTGTGTAAAACTTAAGGAACGCGGAGCCCCCTCCCCAACGAATAGGCCCCTCCCCAACGAATACGGTTCCTTCTTCAGGGCACCTACTGTAGCTAGTCCCGCACCTTCCTGTGGCGGGTTGGGGGCCATCCGAGCCCCCCGGCGGCGATCGCTTGGGCGATCGGGGCCGACGCATCCCCCCTGGTGCCCCATCCCCCCCCCTGCCTCTACCCATGCCCCCGAGGAAACCTTGTCCTAGAGTAGGAGTGCATTAGGAGAAGTGATGAGAAAGGGAGGAGGGAGAGGAGGATGAGGAGAGATGAAGAGAGAGGAGGAGGCGAGGAGGAGAGAGGGAGGAGGGAGAAGGAGGAGGAGAGAATGGAGGAGGAGAGATGGAGGAGGAGGATGGAGGAGGAGGAGGAGGAGGAGGAGGAGGAGGAGGAGGAGGAGGAGGAGGAGGAGGAGGAGCCTCAGGCTGGGTCGCCCAGCTTCGGGCCTGGCGCGCCGCGCGGAGGGGCGCGGTGCCCCACAGCCGGCCAGGGCAGCTCCAGAGGCCCGGCCCGCGCAGCGGGATCATCTTCGCGCCCCTGCGGCTGACCTGGCTCAGCGCGCACCCCTGATGGCGAGAGAGAGGGTCGAGAGGAACTGCTGGTAAGGTTTGCGTTTCCTTCTGTCAGCTCGTTTCCTCAAAAAGGTCAGAGCCCATTATTCTGCGAAGTGCAGCGGCCTTCTTGGCTCGATCCCCTGTGCGATGTTTGCATGCCCATCGCGCGCGGTTTGGACGACTTGGCGGACGAAAGAGACGCCCCGCGCAAAAGCAGGAACACAACTTTCAGGAAACATGTGCGCGGCCCCGAGGCGCGACGCCGCGTCTCGCTCCCGCTACAGAATTCCTGGTTACACGGTTACGCGTATGCCTCTGCGTCCACGAACCGAAAGTGGTTACACGATTCCACTATACAATTGTAAATTGGCCGCCCTCTGATAAAGTTAGGAGATGAAGAAAGAAAAAAGAAAAAAATAATAAAAACAAAAAAAAAAAAAAAAGGAAGAAAGGGAAGGGCAAAAGAGAACGGAATGTGAGAGAAGAGAATTGGAGGAAACGGGAAGAAGCGAGATAAATAGAGAGAGAGAAATGACATACCTACATTTATAGTTACACATGGAGAGAGAGAGAGAAACACACAGAGAGAGAGAGAGAGAGCGAGAGAAAGAGAGATAGAGAGAACAATAAAGAGAGATAGAGATAGAGAGGAGAGGCGAGGCGAGGAGAAAAACGAAGTAGCGATGATGAGCGATGTTATCGGAATGCGTGCTCTGCATGTGCATGGCTTCTTGTTCGTGTCAGTGCCCATTTTTCGCATATCATTACATGGAGTCAACATCAATATGTGATTACACCGGATAGATTCGCCAGGGCAAGAGAGTAGCAACACAACAGTGCTTGCACTTTAGGAGTCATGGTTTCTTATTATTATGTTGTTTCTTCTTCTTCTTCTTCTAAATAAGTGACCCTGTCGGTTTGGCGGCCGAATGCTCGCCGTCGCCGCCTGGTTGCCGCCTCGTCACCGCCTGCCGTCTGGGCCTGAATGTCGGTTTGGCGGCTCCGTGCTCGCCGTCGCCGCCCCGTCGCCGCCTCGTCGCCGCCCGTCGGTTGGGCCTGATTGCCGATCTGGCGGTTCCGTGCTC